GTGTGGTGGATGAAAGTATGGGGTCAATGGGGGTAATCGATAGCTGGTCTATCCGACCTGATGTTTACCAGGTTAAAAACCATTAGATCAAATCAAACTTTAGTTAAAGTGCATTTAAAATTGTAACACTTTAAAGTAACAGAAAACAGCAGTCCCAGATTTATGTAAACAATTTATTCTCAACTATGTACAGATCCAAGCAGTGATTACCGTTAACATCCATCACATCATACAAATGTCTTTACAAAATTACTACAGTACAATATAGATTCTTTGCATGATCCAAAATATTTGGTGGCCCCAACAATTATTATTTTACATTAAAAAAGGTCCAATGCAGCAGTTTTTTAAAAATCTCACTATCAAATCATTCCTGGGTAACAATTAAGTACATTTTAATCATTTAGCAGACGCTCTTATCCAGAGCGACTTACAGGAGCAGTTAGGGTTAAGTGCCTTGCTTGAGGGCACAGACCCGGTTACTGGCCCAACACTCTTAACCGCTAGGTTACCTGCCGCCCTTACTGTGTTTGTTTTCAATTAAACTGGTCCAAAATAAACAAAAATAGCTTCTTAGCAAAGATCAATTTCTCAGGCAAGAATTTTGCTTGGACTGTCTGGGAGTGGGGAGGGGAATACTTAAAATGTACTGTTATTGGCAGAGAGGTTTGTAACCTTCTTTCTTATTGGTCTATTAACTAATTTACCTCATGGTGATGTCACCATGGAAAGCCAAAACTCCATCCCACCAAAACAGGCTGAAATTTCAGGCAGTCTTTTCAAACAGCTCTTACACTAAAAGGGCATTATCATTTTCACAGTATTATTCCAACCTCATAGTGTGGAAATATATATAAAACACAGTTAAATAAAGTTTGACTGCACTGGGCCTTTAAAATTCAGCAGCATATATATAAATAAATCACTAGTTTCTTACATTATTCAGCAAAAAGGGTGAAGGCAGACTTGGAGAAATTCTAGTCAAGTTTTTTTTTCTCAAGGCTAAATGAAAGTCACAGGCTATTGTTAGAAGTGTTCTTTAAAGGAGACATTCTACTGCGGTTGGTTGGTGCTGTAAAAATAAACTAGGGGGGCCTCCCGAGTGGCACAGCGGTCTAAGACACTGCATCGCAGTACTTGAGGCGTCACTACAGCCCCGGGTTCGATCCCAGGCTGTGTCACAACCGGCCGTGACCGGGAGTCCCTTAGGGCGTCGTCTGGGTTAGGGGGTTTGGCCGGGGGGGCTTTACTTGGCTCATCGTGCTCTAGCAACTCCTTGTGGCGGGCTGGTCGCCAGTTGAACAGTTTTTCCTCCAACACATTGGTGCGGCTGGCTTCCGGGTTAAGCGGGCGGGTGTTAAGGAGCGCGGTTTGGCGGGTCATGTTTCGGAGGACGCATGCCTTTTCCGAGCCCGTTGGGGAGTTGCAGCGATGAGACAAGATTGCAATTGGATATCACGAAATTGGGGAGAAAAAGGGGGTAAAAATGTTATATATAAAATTACAATTAACAAAGAGACAAAGATTTTTAATAAAGCATTTTTGCCCCCTCTTCTTCAAAATGAAAGACCTCAATTTGCAAACAAATCTAAGAAGCCATGAGCATATTTGCTTTTCGCTTATTGTGCAAGGTCTTTTTTCCATTATTAAAAATAACGAGACATTATGAATCACCATCAAAATCATCCAGTTGTTATCAAGGCATCATGTACACATATTACATTTTAACACCTTCTAGAAATGTCTTACAATCACTTTGCCACAGTTGCATTAATTATGTGTAAGTTCTCTTCCTAATTTCATATTCCTCAAAGTTATAAGTCAATTTGAATGTCTGTGTATATCTAGTTGAAATGATTCTTTGACACCGACTCTGGGTGTGTGTAAGTCTGTCTCTTACTGGTGAGCTAGCACACATATCAAACGCACACTAGAACTGAACACCCATGGACAGGAGAGGCTTACTAATCTCTTATCGGTAAAGGGAGATGGAAAAAGGCATACATTTGGAAAACAATAACACGAAACAACGGTAAACACAACCTCCTGAGGTTACTACAAACAAATATTCAAGTAGAGAAACTACATCATAGCAGCGGCAATATCGGTACGACAGCACACCAACAGCGATTGTTTTATGTATTTTTTTCATACTTTTTGGGGCGGTTTGGCAGACACAGATAAAGCGAAGTCCTGGACTAAACAAATATTTCAGTGGATATTCTCCATTCACCATTGCTTTTTAGTCCAGCACTAGGTTTAACCTGTGTCTCGGAAACCGGCCCTTTATGTTTTGTTTTTAATTCAGTGTGATAAGTAGTGGTAGGACAGAACCAATCAAGCCATGCTTCTTCCAATTTTCGACATGCCAAACAGCTGGAATGTGACAAAGACAAAATCATTTCAACTTCAGGACACGACAGACGTGGCACAAAAACAACGACTACAGAAACAAGTGCCTCCATATATCCCATGATGTCTTATTTGTGTTACTTGACATTAGCCTGGTCAAGTGAAAAGGAACAATCCAGTTTGGATCCAGGCTAACTTGACATACCCCATGTTTTACTAGTGTTAAAATGTCCCATTAACTACAGGTTACCTATGAGCAAAACCCCCATCCAATATTTTAATAATCAATATACAGTTAAAAAAAAAAAAAAAAAAAAAAAAAAATATGTATCTTAGTTTGTTGGCTTTGGAAAGGTTTTGTGGCAATATCTGCAGTGCATCATCTCCAGGCTTAGTTTACACCAATTATCGTATAGAGAATTTCTGATATTGGAATCGTATCTTTAAAACAGGTCAAATAAAAACAAACAAGTTTTAAAATATATATAAATAGAAAGGACTATATCATATTGAATACCCAGTGAAGTAATACATTTGAGGTGTTTAGTGTTATAAGTCTCCTGTAAATGAATACTTTGTGAGTACCTAAATATGTGGGTCTACTACAGTATGCATTTATGGGTAGTCTGTTCGAAACAAGTGCTTCTAATGTGCTTTGTGAGGGGGGCAAAATACTAGAATGATTACTCTGACTTACAGACTGAATCTGATTGGTTGGTTGGGCATAAAACTGCATTTTCCCCCACCATGGGATAAATTCAGGCAATCAACGACTTCAAGACTTTTGCACTTTACGGAGTCAAAACAATAACACTCCAAAACAAAAAGGAACCAAAAATATTTGTATCTTTAAGTTCTAGCTTCACAGTATTTAACAAGATAACAATACATTTGGATGTGGGCTACAGGTAAAAGGTTAAAGGAAAAAAATGCTCCTGCAGGTATGTATGAAATAAAAAAAGTTTAACTTTCAAAGTAAAGGTCCAATATTGTATGTCAACTAAATGGTTTGGGAAGTAAAGAGCCACCAACATGCAAGGGATCAAGCGTTAGAGCACCCTGCATTCAAAACGGTCATTACATTCATCCTCAAAGATCATGCTTTTAACACAAAAAGCAAACCAACGACAACAATAACAGAAAAAAACAACAGTACAGAAAAAAAATCATTTAAAAACATTGCTTGCTGTTGAGTTTTGGATTGACAACCAACCAAGGTCACAGACAGACACACTATCAAGACAGTGTCATAGTCCTAGTAATAATAATAATAATAATAATACTCAAGGAACAAAGGATGAACACCTCCAGCTAAAGCCCTGTATGCCCTTTCTCTACCCCTCTCCCTACTTCCCTCCCTCCTCTGACAAGGTTAGCAATACGTTCCCAAGTATTGTTTTCACAAATGTGAGAAAGCTGGAAATTGAGATTTGAAACAATGTGAGTAAAGAGTCAGGAAAGCATCTAAGAGTCGGACATTATGGAGGCTAGTAAAACGTCCATGCACACAGAGAACACGTCACTTCCACAGCACAGAACGGAACAGAGGCAGCCTGAGAAAGTTATGACATGTATGAAGCAGTGTTCACGGTCTCTTTTTAGAATCAATACCAAAACCCTGCTAGATGGATTCGACTAGATGAGAATAGCAAGATCGTTTCCAGAGTTGTTTGTTTTCTATACTGTTTTTAAACCCAGTTCCTGCTAGACATTGAATGGAAAGCCTCCGGTAAACAAAGGGGTGGTGGGGGGACAAAACTGAAAAGGGAGAAACCACATGGTTGTTTAAGAAACCTTATCACAGGGCTATACAAGAAATCCCACAACTATCCGATGACGCGACACGCATCACTCTTACGTTGTACACCCACTGTCCCCACTTCCCACTTTGACGCAAGCATGCTACTTAGTCATTTCCCCCGTTTATAAGACAAGTCACTTTCAACCACAACAAATAAAAATCATATGCACTTCTTCTGTCTGTGATGTGTGATTGACTGACTGGTTTAGGCAACACAGCTTCTGACCTGCCTAAACATATTAAAACTCTGATATTACTCTAAATATGCCACTGACAAGCTTTTACATTAACTCAATGTAATTACTTTGACGACTACAAGAAAATACATGCTATTCTTATTCTAAGATATGTAGAGGCAGTTTCCCAAATAAAAAGTAAAAACTTGCTGGTTCGATTTTTTTAAATGAATGATAGTATCAGCATTTACTCTACTCTATTGCCCTCCGTTGCTGTTGTTTGGCTATCAGCCGTCCTGGCTGTTGAGGATACGTATGTTGTCTTTGAGACCTTTTTATGTCATTTCCTTGCGACTTCCTGATTTTATAACCTCCCCTACATAAATTCTATGGTTGGTCTCCTCCAGTCTAGTTCTACGCCAACTCCCTCCCTCCCCCTACCTTTGAGTGGCACGTTCCGGCCGATACGTATTGATTTAAAAGCTCTTCTTCACTGACCGCTGGTGCTCAAATCAGCGCTACCCCCTCGGTAAGTATAAAACCATGATTTTACCACAACTAAACGACAAAAGTTTTTACAGAGCTTTGTATAGTTTTTTCCCCTTGTTTTTATTGTTTTGTTTAATGTCGCTGGAGAGCTTGGATGAAAGAAAGAAAAAAAATGGCTAACCTGACATCTTTTCATTACTGATTGTGATGTTGAAATGAATTTTTCCTCCCTTGATAAAGTTGGCCCACCGGTCCCCGTGCCCCCCTCGCCTGTTGCGTGGGGGGGCGTTGAGTGCCTCGGCTAGCTAACACCTCCCTCCCACCCCGCCCGTCCAGAAGGTTGAGGAGGGGTCACGGTCTGCACCCCCTTCCCTCCCCAGCTGGCAGACCCTACCCCCAGTAAAGGGTAACATGTTCCCTGGGTATAAGAGGTTCCCCGTCCGTCGTCTCCCATAGCGAATGACCTGGTAGGAGAGAGACAGAGGGAGACCAATATTAATGGAAAAAATATATACTTTTTTAAGCCCATCCCCCACACATACAGTCCCTTCAGAAAGTATTCAAACCCTTCACTTTTCCATTGTTGTTACAGCCTGAATTCAAAATGTATTACATATATTTTTCACCCATCTACACACAATACCCCATAATGACTAAGTGAAAACATGCTTTTAGACATTTCCAATTTATTGAAAATGAAATACAGAAATATCTCATTTACATGTATTCACACCCGAGTCAATACTTTGTAGAAGCACCTTTGGCAGTGATTTCAGCTGTGAGACTTCCTTGATAACTCTCTAAGAAGGTACTGTACTCCTGAGTGGCGCAGTGGTCTAAGGCACTGCATCGCAGTGCTAACTGTGCCACTAGAGATCCTGGTTCGAATCCAGGCTCTGTCGCATCCGGCCGCGACCGGGAGACTCATGGGCGGCGCACAATTGGCCCAGCGTCGTCCAGGGTAGGGGAGGGAATGGCCGGCAGGGATGTAGCTCAGTTGATAGAACATGGCGTTTGCAACGCCAGGGTTGTGGGTTTGATTCCCACGGGGGGGGCAGTATAAAAAAAATATATATATATGTATTCACTAACTGTAAGTCGCTCTGGATAAGAGCGTCTGCTAAATGACTAAAATGTAAATGTAAGAGCTTTCCCCACACCAGGATTGTGCATCATTGTCATTTAGCAGACGCTCTTATCCAGAGCGACTTACAGTTAGTGAATACATATCTTTTTTTTATACTGGCCCCCCGTGGGAATCGAACCCACAACCCTGACGTTGCAAACGCCATGCTCTATCAACTGAGCTACATCCCTGCCGGCCATTCCCTCCCCTACCCTGGACGACGCTGGGCCAATTGTGCGCCGCCCATGAGTCTCCCGGTCGCGGCCGGCTGCGACAGAGCCTGGATTCGAACCAGGATCTCTAGTGGCACAGTTAGCACTGCAATGCAGTGCCTTAGACCACTGCGCCACTCAGGAGCCCATTATTATTTTCAAAATTCTTCAAGCTCTGTCAAATTGGTTGTTGATCATTGCTAGACAACCATTTTCAAGTCTTGCCATAGATTTTCAAGTAGATCTAATTCCTCCTCCAGCAAACTTTACAGTTGGCACGATGTAGTCGGGCAGGTAGCGTTCTCCTGGCATCTGCCAAACCCATATTCGTCTGTCGGACTGCCAGATGGTGAAGCGTGATTCATCACTCCAGAGAATGCGTTTCCACTGCTCCATAGTCCAATGGCGGCGAGCTTTACAGCACTCCAGCCGACGCTTGGCATTGTGCATGGTGATCTTAGGCTTGTGTGCGGCTGCTCGGCCATGGAAACCCATTTCATGAAGCTCCCGATGAACCGTTCTCGTGCTGACTTTGCTTCCATAGGCAGTTTGGAACTCGGTAGTGAGTGTTGCATCCGAGGACAGATGATTTTTACGCGCTGAGCTCTTCAGCACTTGGCGGTCCCGTTCTGTGAGCTTGTGTGACCTACCACTTCGCGGCTGAGCCGTTCCTAGACGTTTCCACTTCACAATAACCGGGGCAGCTCTAGCAGGGCAGACATTTTACAAACGGACTTGTTGGAATGGTGGTATCCTATGACGGCGCCACGTTGAATGTCACTGAGCTCTTCAGTAAGGCCATTCTACTGCCAATGTTTGTCTATGGAGACTGCATGGCTGTGTACTCGATTTTATACACCTGTCAGCAACGGGTGTGGCTGAAATAGCCGAATCAACTAATTTGAAGGGGTGTCCACATACTTTTGTATGTATTGTGGTTGAATCTGTTTGAAATTCACTGCTCGACTGAAGGACCTTACAGATTAATTGTACGTGTAGGGTACAGAGATAAGGTAGTCATTCAAAAATCATGTTAAACACTATTATTGCACACAGAATGAGTCCATGCAACTTATTATGTGACTCGTTAAGCAAATCTTTACTCATTAACATATTTATGCTTGCCATAACAAAGTGGTTAATACTTATTGGCTCAAGACATTTCAACTTTAAATTAATTTGTAAAAATGTCAAAAAACAAACTTCCACTTTGACATTGTGGGGTATTGTGTATAGGCCAGTAACAAAAAATCTCAATTTAATCAATTTTAAATTCAGGCTGTAAGGCAACATAATGTGGAAAAAGTCAAGGGGTGTGAATACTTTCTGAAGGCACTGTATATCAACTTTGTTTTGCTTGCTTATCATTTTGCTTAAATAAGGTGGCTGACAAACTGAAGAGACACGAAAGTACCTTAGATCTGATATCTCAGCTCTAATTAGATTTTCAACCATTTTTAAACATGAATATGCGACGTACCCCCTTGAACAGGCCTGTTCCTATGGAAAGCATTACACCCCGTAGAAGGCCGCCAGTCGTTCCTTCAGAGGCAGAGGGAACTGGTCTGAGAAACGCCTCCAGTTTTCCTCGCCCACCTGGTTCTTGAACCCATGGAGGATCTGAAAATATCAACACATAATTAGAATGTACACACAAAGCTATGCACGCACATGCATGTACGTGCACAAACACGCATTGTGGATCAGGATATTCTCATCTTCTCCTTTCTCACACACAGGTACTCAGTCTCGTAGACTAGGCCCTACATGGTACATAGGCCTTTTTGCAATTGGATTTGCTCAACTCCTGCGTCCTCTCTCCTCCGTCCATGCTCGCCTCCTTTTGAAAAAGGTCAAAGGTAATCGAGGCGAGGCGTGGCGGCGAGGAGAAGGAACGTGGACGAAAATGCGCTTGTATGAAATGAGACTCTCCGTCTCCACTCGCGTGTCATCAAGCAAATTACGTTTACAGGGGTGGAATCCCAAAATAAATGTGTAAAGTCAAAACTAATGTAGCTAGTTGGGCAAGAAATGTTGTAGATGAAAGTATAAATAGCATATTGTTTTTAAATGTTTGAATGCTTTTCTCCTTCGAGAAAACAACTGCTTCAAATGGGGTGTGGCGGATATCAAAACTCTTCCGCGAAGGACTCGGGTAGGATACACATGAATATCCTAGATGAAAGGTGGCTATCAATGAGGGGAGGACACTCTCCCGTTCGCCTACTAACAATTTGACACTCTCCTCGACCACTTATCTGTTTCCGGGTCAAGGAGGAGAGAGGACGGAGGACAGAATTTTGCCTAAATGAAAAAAAGGCCACAGTCATGATCAGTTTTTACCTTGCCAAACATGTCTCGCAGATCATCCTTTGGATTTACCCACGAGGCCACTGCATCACAGAAAAATATAAAATCCTGGAGGAAATGAGAAAAAGTCTGGCTTGAGACAACAGTTTTCCAACTAACATCCTTCACTAATGGGGCCATCTAACCAGTAATGCAGTTCCTTTATTTTTCTTAGTCCTCAACTGATGGGGCCATGAAAAGAAGTGCAGTTTATACGTTATCCTCAAGAGGGCAGCAATGCCCAGGGGCCTCACCTGCACCACTCCTCCTGGGTTGACACTGATCATAGTGCAGATGCCTCGGAACGCTGAGTCTTTCTCCTCATTGTCTCTTATGTTCCGTAGAGAGGTGCACCTGCCAACAGGAACAGCCACGTTTTACACCAGGCCAGAGAGGCTGCCTTTAAGTACTGCATAGCATTACAATTCAAAACCCTTATAGCACTCTGAAGTTACCATTGACTGTATTCAATAAGTTACTTGTACTTGCATAGGTATACCATATTACTTTTACCGTATTTTCCGCACTATAAGGCGCACCGGAGTATAAGCCGCAGCAGCTAAATTGAATGATGTGTACATATATAAGCCGCACTGGACTATAAGCCGCAGGTGTTTTAATGTTTAATTACCATATGAAAGCTTTTTTTGACTTTTTGCATTGAGACAGTTCTTCCCACTGGCGTCTCCAACGTCTCACCATTGACGCCAAGGCTACGTGCAGCAGCTCTATTTCCTTCTTTTACAGCCAGATTGACTGCCTTTAACTTAAAAGCTGCATCATATGCATTTCTACGTTTGTTTTCCATATTGAGGGTTTGTGCATGAAAACTTCCTTTGAACAAACTGTCTCGCTCTCGTAATGTCTGTCTGTCTTGCTCTCGTTCTGTCTCTCGTACCACTCTCGGTTCCACTTTTACTTTTGCGCGCTACCTGTCTCACTCTTTTCTGGCCTCCAGCTTTTCCTGCTGGAGCCCGCTGCTTAAAGGTGGGGGGCGCGGACCGGTCATAGAGCCCATAGAGTTAAAGTTGGTGGACTGTAACCTGTAAAATCCATAGATTTAGGAGGTCTTCTAGTGGCCGTTAGCTGTAAAAATCCATAGATTAGCCGCACCGTTATATAAGCCGCAGGGTCGAAAAATTTGAAAAAAAGGCGCGGCTTATAGTCCGAAAATTACGGTACTTTTCACTAATACATTCTAACATAATTCAAAAACATAAATTCCACTATGAAAATGTAATTTATAAGTAAAATACCTTCCAAAATATAAAAATACTACATATTGCCTCAAAGGGTATTGTTGATTATATGTTACTGTAAAAAAGTACTAAATAGAACCTATAGTATATTAAAAGTAAACTTGCCATTTTTACTCCATACATGTGAATTCAATCTACGACCATTTAGATATTTCAAAGATTTGATACTACCGGAAGTACTTTAACAAAGACTACTTAGTTACAGTGCCTTGCAAAAGTATTCATCCCCCTTGGCGTTTTTCCTATTTTGTTGCATTACAACCTGTAATTTAAATGGATTTATATTTGGATTGCATGTAAATGGACATTCACAAAATAGTCCAAATTGGTGAAGTGAAATGAAAACAATTACTTGTTTCAAGAAATTCTACAAAATCAATAACGGAAAAGTGGTGCGTGCATATGTATTCACCCCCTTTGCTATGAAGCCCCTAAATAAGCTCTGGTGCAACCAATTACCTTCAGAAGTCACATAATTAGTTCAATAAAGTCCACCTGTGTGCAATCTAAGTGTCACATGATCTGTCACAGGATCTCAGTATATATACACACCTGTTCTGAAAGGCCCCAGAGTCTACAACACCACTAAGCAAGGGGCACCACCAAGCAAGCGGCACCATGAAGACCAAGGAGCTCTCCAAACAGGTCAGGGACAAAGTTGTGGAGAAGTACAGATCAGGGTTGGGTTATAAAAAAATATCCGAAACTTTGAACATCCCACGGAGCACCATTAAATCCATTATTAAAAAATTTAAAGAATATGGCACCACAACAAACCTGCCAAGAGAGGGCCGCCCACCAAAACTCACGGACCAGGCAAGGAGGGCATTAATCAGAGGCAACAAAGAGACCAAAGATAACCCTGAAGGAGCAGCAAAGCTCCACAGCGGAGATTGGAGTATCTGTCCATAGGACCACATTAAGCCGTACACTCCACAGAGCTGGGCTTTACAGAAGAGTGGCCAGAAAAAAAGCCATTGCTTAAAGAAAAAAATAAGCAAACGTTTGGTGTTCACCAAAAGGCATGTGGGAGACTCCCCAAACATATGGAAGAAGGTACTCTGGTCAGATGAGACTAAAATTGAGCTTTTTGGCCATCAAGGAAAACGCTATGTCTTGCGCAAACCCAACACCTCTCATCACCCCGAGAACACCATCCCAACAGTGAAGCATGGTGGTGGCAGCATTATGCTGTGGGGATGTTTTTCATCGGCAGGGACTGGGAAACTGGTCAGAATTGAAGGAATGATGGATGGCGCTAAATACAGGGACATTCTTGAGGGAAACCTGTTTCGGTCTTCCAGAGATTTGAGACTGGGACGGAGGTTCACCTTCCAGCAGGACAATGACCCTAAGCATACTGCTAAAGCAACACTCGACTGGTTTAAGGGGAAACATTTACATGTCTTGGAATGGCCTAGTCAAAGCCCAGACCTCCATCCAATTGAGAATCTGTGGTATGACTTAAAGATTGCTGTACACCAGCGGAACCCATCCAACTTGAAGGAGCTGGAGCAGTTTTGCCTTGAGGAATGGGCATAAATCCCAGTGGCTAGATATATCAAGCTTATAGAGACATACCACAAGAGACTTGCAGCTGTAATTGCTGCAAAAGGTGGCTCTACAAAGTATTGACTTTGGGGGGGTGAATAGTTATGCACGCTCAAGTTTTCTGTTTTCATTTTCCATCTTCAAAGTGGTAGGCATGTTGTGTAAATCAAATGATACAAACCCCCCAAAAATCAATTTTAATTCCAGGTTGTAAGGCAACAAAATAGGAAAAATGCCAAGTGGGGTGAATACTTTCGCAAGCCACTGTATGTACAACACATTCTTGTGGGGAGAAAATGATTTCTCTCAGGTTATCTAAAACGGTATCAGAATTGTGCATGCACATCAAACAAACCTGTCATTCTGAGACTGTGTGTGAAGGCACTTAACTCTATTCACTTACACGTGAGTCACTAAAACTGCTTTATCACTTAAAATAACTTCCATTTGGCCCATGTGGCATTCAGGCAAGCCTTTACTATAGCACCTTATCAATGCCAATTTCTTTTGAAATATTAACTTTTTTCTTAAAGGAAGTTTTGAGGAATTCTGGGATAGGCACATGCAGCTGGAGGACTATTGGACAAGATGGGGGATTTGGGAATAATCCGGGAATACTTTTGGGAATTATTTTGGAATGCGTCTGGAATTTTTGGGAAGCCATTTGTTTTCCCTTTTTCTTTCTGAACCAGCAGGCATGTGACAATCTGATCCCATGCACTAATTAGTAGTTAGTGACAATTAACAACGACAAAAAAAAAGCTAAATAAATAAACCAATAATGTATCAAATACATGAAGGTGCTACTGAGGCAAAATAAATCACACTGAGGGGACCTAAAAGAGGACAAGATTAGTCACATGGTTGGCAATTGATTACAGACTGATTCAGGAGAAACAGAAAATACTTATTTTAGAAAGAAAGATGATGAAGAGACAGAGAAAGACAGTGACAGGGAAGGAAAGCGAGAGTGACAGGACAGGGAGAGACAGACGCGGAGAAAGAGAAAATGAATTAAATAAAAATATATTGAATAATACACACCAGGGTCTTATAAACTGCTGTAGCATGGGTGCCACCTCTTGAGGACAAACGTAACCAAGACGACCAATTGTTATTGCTAAGGTAACGCAATCACGGATATACACCACCAAACGCCAACCAAGACATGAGCAATGAGGAGGAGGAGGAGAAAAAATAAAGAAAAAACAAACAAACAACTCAGAAACATAAATCAACAGAATCTGTGCATGATATTAAACAGAAGAATTCACTAGTGTTGATTACTACTGCCCCGCTCACTACTGGGGGAAAAACGTAAGATAGTATGACACTCTAAAAACAAACAACTAATTTAAGGGAGAACACTTTGACAACACAATATCAAATCAAACGGCAACATGCCTGCTCGGACGTCAGAAATATGACATCAGAAATATGAATGGTGAAATGGCCTCTGTTCTCTTGCAACAAACTCCTCTCTCCCAAATGTTAAATGAATGATCTTCATCTAAAAGTAAAAGTGTAAATGTGAAGTCATTAATGTTTATACAGTTATTATTCCTCTCAAAGTTGCCAGCTGGGAATTGAGCTTTCATAGGTTTCTCCCTTAAACTCACAAAAAGGTTCATCTTTCCATAAGAAACAGAAACGTTCTTTCTTTTGGTTGTAAAGAAATGACAGTACTCCAAGCCAACTACATGGAAGGAGACTAGTATCCAGCACAGCAGGTTCTTATGAAGAGGCAGAGAGGAGCGAGGACCTACGTTTAAGAGACACAAAACGATGCAACATTCTCATTAAGAAACAGGAATTTATGAACAGTCCAATGAGACATGCAGAAAGCAGATGATAGGCTCATTAGAAATTGAGTTCAGTGCAGGATAGGCTGATTTGTTTCAAATGAGGGTGGAGGGGAGGAGTTATAGCTATATATGGCCTCAAACCCAATCCACCTCAATTTCAGTGTTTAGCGTTGATGTGACTTTATATGTGTGTGTTTTAAAAGTGCTCTGAATTATCAAATTGGTGAGCTATAAGATAATCAATATGGATATATTTCTGAATGTTTTGATTGGTTAGGGGAAAAATGTTGATTGGGAAACCAAATGGAAACAAAGAGGTTTCAATTTATCATACTAAAATAGAATGGCAGTGGTCTGAGCTCAACAGCATAGTGCTATGGCTCCATCAATTCATCACGTATCCTGCATCAAACACTTGCCATCCTTTAACTAAACAACATTCAACATCTATTGGCAGATATGCATTCACATTTAAAAAACAGTAACTAAAAACAACAAATAAACTGACAAACAGAACAACATCTACAAATTCCCCAGTTTCCCTGGTAGGGATAGTTAAGCAGGTTACACTTCACCCTCATTTTGGCTCAGTGGTTCTAGTTTATGTCGGGCGGCCATTTTGGCTTTCCCAAGCACAGTCTCCAATTCGAATAGAGCTTCTAAATAAGAGCAGAGTGTAACTGAAGGTTTGTTTGCTAAGTGTAGGTGCTATAACATTTCAACACCACAAAAATGTTTAGGGTGGGATTAACTCTTTTCTCAATCAGCAAAGAAGACTAGTTATTATTATTAATTATTATTATCCGAGTGTTCAGTAAACATTCAGTTTGTCAAATTAACCGTATGAAAACTCTAAGCATTTAGCTGTAAGTGAGGTTGGGAGACACTCATCTGTCTCAGTTAAGGCCTCACTGTCACCTACTGATGCTGCTCAACACTTCAACTTTACTTCAATGGAAATACAGCTAGAAAAACCTGACAACCATAGGCACAATAGAATCAATTCATTTCAGTTAATCACGCCAAGACTGTACACTTACAGGGTTCGCTCGGTTTTTAAACTTACTCTATAGCTAGGTTTCCATCCAATTGGCAACAGATTTTCATGCTAATATTCTAAAATCCGCATAAAAACAATATGCACATTTTCCCACCAGAGATGTGTTTCCATCAAATTGACTTGTAAAAGGCGGTGGGTGATGACATAGTGCACATAAAATAACTTTTGCGGTTAAAAAATACAAGTTAAATGGGTTTCCATCGCATTTTCAACTCTACTGATGGTTTTGTCACAACAAATGTTGCGTTATATCGCAAATGTTCCCTCTCTGGTCTTCGCATGTGTGCTCTAACCAACAGCTCGCAGATACAATGTAGGCTATCTACATGATGAGATTATGGATAAGAGCACACATTTTTTTTATTGTCAAAGCGGTAGTCAAGCATCGATCATCATGTCACCAGAATAAGACCCTCAATATTTATTGGAAAGGAGCATCAAGCTCATCACCGTGCACTTTCACCACCCAGTGAAGTTCATCATCATTTATTTAATCTGTAGCCTAATAAACTGCATGTTTTCCCGAGTCGTAGTGGGAGGACTACATAACATATCATCGCGTGACTCCGAGTTAACTTCGATATGATGGTTATTATATCAATATTTGTGCATGAAGGGATTTCAACCTTGCCTGGCTACCCAGACTCCTTACTCCAGCCAAACGCTACGCCACGCCCATGGACATTAGTTTCTTCTCAGAAATTAGTCTGGATCTGAGTACCTCCCTGACCCTTCACCGAATGCGAACACATTCAGGGCCATCTGATTGGTCCAGAAACCGATGGGTTGGGCCAGAGCCAGAACACACGTGGGTAAAGTGGCAGTTTGAAAATTCGTCATTGGCTTTGATAATCTGATAGGTTGAATATGATCCAATCAATGAGGACTGTTTTGTACAATGCCCCTCATGCCCTTCGTCACCACAAACTACTTAAATGATTGCAGTCTCAGACTAAAGTAGGTAGCGAATGACAGAGCAGCAGAATAATTTAGTGTGAGTCGTCAGTCTAGTTTCCACCACCATTTCTCGCATAATTAATTTTACCAACAAAAAGATCCCACCTTGTCTAGCACATTTTGTTTTGTCGACATTTGGAAAGTTTACCGACAAATGTGCTGTTTCCAACAGGCCTGTCATGACATTTTTTATCCAACATGTACTTGACTCGCATAAAAGGATGGAAACCTGGTTAGTGAGGAACAAAATTTGTATCTATCAATCTCTCTTTATCACTCTCTCTTTCCACCTGAGCAACATTACATTTACTTCAGCAGGGATCCAACAACCCATAAACACAGCCTCTAAGCCATAGATCAGTTGGTAGGAGTAGTTGGGATATTTGGGCGAAACCGGCGAAACCTGTAAGGCCCAGGGCTTGGGGAGCCTTTCAGATAGAGATGAATGGCCTCATCTCAATTCAGAGGGTGCGTCCCAATAATCTCTCCTTCATCCTGAAGTGTGCACTCGTTCACTACTCCCCAAAAACGAAAAACGCATTGGATTAGTCTTGGCACGGGCTAGGTGGATCTTTCATATACCAGTCATTTCCTGTCAAATCCATGAAGGGAAGTGAACAAGTGCACAATTTGGGAGAAGGGAGGGACGATTGGGACGCGCTCAGAGTAGGCCTGACGGACTGTGCAACACCTCCCTGTGCTGTGGCTGGTGGGCTCAGCAAAGCGCCACCTTGTGGTACCTGTGTTCTCCAGCAGGGTCTTTGGGGTGTTGGGCCTGTTGATGATCTCAACCAGCTGGTGCAGCACCATGGCCACGTAGGGCTGCATCTCAGCGCCTGGGGAGAGGCCGGAAAAATGAAGGTCCGTGAGTGAGGCCGTGGGTGTGAGTGCAAGTGTGAGTGCGTGTGTGTGTTCATTAGAATGCATGTAAGCTGGTGTGTGTGTGACCGTTTTGTGACATTTTGTGGACACTCACCCATTTGTATAGATATCTCTCCGATTGCCCATGTTGCATTGTTGCACACCGATATCAATTCTGGGTTCAGATTAGTGCCTAATATAGGCATGAAATCAGCTGCACAGGAGAGAAAGAGGCTTATACCATCGGTAATTGATAAGCTCACATTTGGACTACTAGGCAGTGTGTTACTGCCAATGTGGTGTAAGAGAAAAGAGTACGTACCAATGCATGGCTTTACGTGCTGGAAACAAGCCTTAGTCAGGTCACCCAGCAGAGCAAAGGAGCTCTGACGCACCTCAGGCATTTTGTCCTGAATGAGAGGAAAAGAAAGAAAGAGGGGGAGAGAGAAAGAGAGAGGGGGAGCGAGAGAGAGGAAGAGGGAGAGAGAGTAGAGAGAATTTTGCTTGATAACAAATACGATTTAATTTACAGTTACTTTACATTAGCGGCGGGGCTCTATAATAATTTTTTTCCAGTGCCAAGACAGACAACGGTGATGGTAGCCTATGACTTAAAAAGTAAGCCATTTCATCTAACATATCCAGGAAATGCATGATTGATATTTTGATGTGCAACCTTTGATGTTGGATCCAGAATTATCAGATTTCTTTTGGCGCTTCATATTGGCCTATAGGCTATATTATTCACTACCTGAGGAAGTGGGAACGCAAAACACTTAGCTAGATTGTTAACTCTAAATATGATATTGTTGCTAGATAGCCATGTAGGCTAATTGATTAATAATTCTGTAAATGTAGCCTGACTGTCCTACAAAAACTTTCCAGCGCCAAGCCTAGGCTACTTGATGTAGGCCTATTCACTGCAAACGGTGCGCTCCGCTCTGCAGGCGCATCAAAACCATACTAACTACAGCCTACTCCGGTTGTAAAGTGGTGCCATGAACTTAATATTAAGAGGTGAGAAATTCATTATATAAAACACAGAAAGATGTGACTCTCCTCTATGTAACTAGAACAGCAGTTGCTTTGAAAACTGTATTTTTCCCGCAATAGCATTTTGAGCAACGGTCATACGCTTGTGCTTCTCAGAATGCATCTCTCCCTCCTCCTTGCGCAGAGTGGGGAGAGAGAGTGAGAATTGGCTCGCTCAGACAGCAGCCGACAGCGAAATCGGTAATATTCGGTTTATCGTCCCAGCTCTAGGTGAGGACACTGGTTACCTGCATGCACTGGTACATGAGCGTGAGGATGTTGCTAGGGGCGACCAGCTGCTCGATGTTGCCGCCCAACCCTTCAGCCAACCCGCTAAGCAGGTCCAGGGCCACAATCATAAAGTCCTTATCAGGGGCCTCGTACTGGTCTGGCTGGGACTGGTGGAGCTGGATGGAGAGCGAGGGGGGAGGGGGTAAAAAAAAGGTAGACGGACGATAGAGGAAGTGAGAGAGTGTGTGGATTAGAATTGGGAAAGGAGAGATTGGAAACAATTAGATGCCACATACCCCAAGCATGACACCCCACTGCGAGCAGATAAGTCTTCCAAATGTTCTCACACACACACACAAACAAACAATCTGTGCCAATTGCCTCTCCATGGTGTTCAGTGCCAACTCACGCAGCCAGTTGGCACAAACAAGATATTGTTTACAGACAAGAAAAAAAGCAAGGCGCTACACAAACAAAGTCACTTATGCAACAGACTGATTAGGTGAGCCAGAATCCAGGCAGAAAATGTACATAATTCACTAGACAGACACTGTGTAGGCCTTTAAAAATTAATTGTATCCATTTTAGAATAAGGCTGTAACGTAACAAAATGTGGAAAAAGTCAAGGGGTCTGAATACTTTACAAATGCACTGCGTGCGTGCGTGTCTCACCATAGCCTGAGCGAGGGTCTTCTGCACCAGGTTAACACAGCGCTGGTACACAGGCTCACAGTAGGGCAGGAAACCACTCTGGAGCGCCGTGGCTACTGACGACAGGCACTGAGAGAGGGATGGAGAGAGAGAGAGAGAGAAAGAAGGACAGAGATGGGGGGGAAGAAAGGGAAAGAAAGAGTTGGGGTGATTGAGAGAAAGGGGAAGTGACAAAAGAGAGGACATAAGAGGAATAAATAATATTATACTTGATAACCTCAGTTACAGTGGCTTGCGAAAGTATTCACCCCCCCCATGGCATTTTTCCAATTTTGTTGCCTTAAAACCTGGAATTAAAATGGATTTTTGGGGGGTTTGTATCATTTGATTTACACAACATGCCTACCACTTTGAAGATGCAAAATAGTTTTTGGGGTGAAACAAGAAATAAGACAAAAAAAACAGAAAACTTGAGCATGCATAACTATTCACTGTAGGGATGGTGTTCTCGGGGAGAGGTGTTGGGTTTGCGCCAGACATAGCGTTTTCCTTGTTGGCCAAAAAGCTCAATTTTAGTCTCATCTAACCAGAGTACCTTCTTCCATATGTTTGGGGAGTCTCCCACATGCCTTTTGGTGAACACCAAACGTGTTAGCTTATTTTTTTCTTTAAGCAATGGCTTTTTTTCTGGCCACTCTTCCGGAAAGCCCAGCTCTGTGGAGTGTATGGCTTAAAGTGGTCCTATGGACAGATACGTCAATCTCCGCTGTGGAGCTCTGCAGCTCCTTCAGGGTTATCGTTGGTCTCTTTGTTGCCTTTCTGATTAATGCCCTCCTTGCATGGTCTTTGAGTTTTGGTGGGCGGCCCTCTCTTGGCATGTTTGTTGTGGTGCCATATTTACATTTACATTTACATTTTAGTCATTTAGCAAACGCTCTTATCCAGAGCGACTTACAGTTAGTGAATAAATATTTATTTATTACTTTTTTAATACTGGCCCCCCGTGGGAATCGAACCCACAACTCTGGCGTTGCAAACGCCATGCTCTATCAACTGAGCTACATCCCTGCCGGCCATTCCCTCCCCTACCCTGGACGACGCTGGGCCAATTGTGCGCCGCCCATGATTCTCCCGGTCGCGGCCGGCTGCGACAGAGCCTGGATTTAAATGGTGCTCCATGGGATGTTCAAAGTTTTAGATATTTTTTTATAACCCAACCCTGATCTGTACTTCTCCACAACTTTGTCCCTGACCTGTTTGGAGAGCTCCTTGGTCTTCATTGTGTCACTTGCTTGGTGGTGCCCCTTGCTTAGTGGTGTTGCAGACTCTGGGGCCTTTCAGAACAGGTGTATATATACTGAGATCATGTGACACTTAGATTGCACACAGGTGGACTTTATTTAACTAATTATGTGACTTCTGAAGGTAATTGGTTGCACCAGAGCTTATTTTGGGGCTTCATACATATGCACGCACCACTTTTCCGTTATTTATTTAGTATAATTTTTTGAAACAAGTAATTTTTTTAATTTCACTTCACCAATTTGGATTATTTTGTGTATGTCCATTATATGAAATCCAAATAAAAATCCATTTAAATTACAGGTTGTAATGCAACAAAATAGGAAAAACGCCAAGGGGGGTGAATACTTTTGCAAGGCACTGTACAGGTAGTAATTTATCGTTTTACAGGGTAAGCATTTGTTGTCGGTAAAGTGTGGGAAACTCCTCGAGGCGGTTAGTAGGGTTTTAAAGGGAGGGTATATTACTGGACACTTTTAAAGTTTACCAGTAAACTACAAGAATTCTGGTATCTTTCAAGGATTTCATTTAATCTATCACAAGACATCTAGTGGCCCTTTTGGGTACTTCAGATTATCACAGGTGTCTGTCATTATCTCTGGCCCTATGTGTGGCATGATCTCATGTAAAGTATATGAAATAAATAAGATGATTTTAAAATAAAAATAGAATGACAACGCTGTAAAACATTATCCTAAATATTACCCTAAATGAATACCATTGGGATTTAATGTGAGGGTTTCAGCATGAAATATCCTTTATATTTTCTTACACACTTATTTTACTATGTCAATATGTGACTCGTTTCAGGAAACTAGGCGTATGTCGTCATCACTACTTTACAGGAGAGGCATTTGAACATAAACAATTATTTTTAATCAAAACGCATTTGCAGAAATGCCTTCTGGAACATGTGAACTTTCATGTGCCTTAATAACGAACTTGTATGTCATCTGTAAATACGAATAGAACTGTTACATTACGAGCCTCGTTGGTTTAGCCACGGAAAAAGACAGGAACCTTGCCGCTAGCAATGATTGGCTGAGAATGTATGGGCTGGACATGTCAAGAGATTAATTCTGATTGGTCTGCCATTTAGCACGCTTATGTCTATAACATGAGCTGCTCAGTATGTGTAGGTAATCCTTTCTAACGCAGCTATTTTGAAAGATATCCCGAAGAACTGCATAAGTGTTGCTAATGCTCTCCAATTTCTGGAGAACAGAGTTTTGAAATCAGTGGAATGCCCGGTGGAAGCAGAGTATGATAGCTAAGGAGATGGAGAAAAGTCTGGCGTTTGATTGCATATATTGTGGAGGGAGTCGAAAAGAGAACACAAAGAAGAAGGCTGTGGAATAAAACACTTGTCTCCGAGTTACATCTTCAAACTAAGGGCAACCATGGCATCCATGACAGAGGGAGAAGCGTTCATCCATGTATACGGGTAAAAGAGTCTAGCTAGCTACATTCAGATTTTATAAGTTTCTAATTTTGTCAGAAAGTCATTTTCATTGCAAGTTAAAACGTACTGTTAGCTAGCTAGCTAACGTTAGCTGACTGGCTCGCTAGCTAACGTTATGTGTATGATCTGTGTAGTAATATTATTCATCAGAGCCATTTGCATTGCTAGTTATAGCCTAATGTTAGCTAGCTAGCTAACATTGAACCTAGTTAGTTGATTAGCTTTAGCTACCAGCAGATTCATACAGGGTAGTAATGTTATGAGTTGGGATTATGTTTCATTGTTTAGCTAGCTAGCTACATGTTTAAACAAAAGACTCCACTATGCAAGTAACCATTTCACTGTACCGTTTACACCTTCTGTATCCTGTGCATGTGACAAATAAACGTTGATTTTATTTGATATAGTGTGTGTTTACCAGAGACGGTAATGTATAGAACAACATGACCTGCACCTAAGTCAAATTAGGATATAACGTTAGGCCAACAAGACAGTGTCCAAGTTCAAAAATTATCCGGTAGAAGAATGCCCTGCTTTTATTTTGTCACACTCACAACCGTAAGCTATTATCTGTAATTAGTTCGCCATTAACTTGTAAATAATGATCTGGTTGTGAGTTTATTTTCCTGTAATAACAAATACAAATTAGCTAAAGATAAGACGTTGTCAGCTATATGATATGGTAATTATTTGTACTGGCTAGCCAGCTAACGTAACGTTAGCTAGCTAACAAGCTAGAAACGAATCAAAACATTGTTTAAGAAAGTTGCTTTTAGTTGCCTGGTTTGCTAGATTGACATATACTAAATTCATTTTAAACGGATGGGTTTACTGGTGTTAAAATACACCAATTATGCTATTTTGGACAACCAGGCTGCTGATGTCATGCAGCCTGTTATTTTTGTGTTTATACTTTTTCATAACGACAACGACAAGTTTGATGTCAGACGACAATAGAATGTTCATGATGTCACTGCGACAACAGTCTACAAACATGTCGATAGACGTAGCATAAACCAGCCTTTAGTCTTAAAATCTTTGGTTGTTTAGTACACTACCATACTCACTCTGTATAGAACATGGCCTCCTATGTGAATCCTTAAAGAGATGGGTGGGGCTACGGCTTAAGAGGGTGTGGACGATGCTGAATGGGTGTAGACAAAGGAGAGCTCTCCAATAGGTGTAGCAAAACATTCAAGGGCCATTTTCTCAAAAGTGGGGTTACAAAGTTGATCAACTTTCAAAACAGAATTACTTTCCCATTGTTCCTCAACTGTAGTGTATGACATACCATTTTCTAGCTCTGATTCTCTATTTTTATCCAATGTAAAAAAAACACCATTTAACATTTTGCGACGTAAGGCCGAATCGAGCAAGTCGGTCACATATGTATTTTGGTCAATGTTTTGGTGTCAAACTGGTGACAGTTGTGAAAAAAGTCAATAGTTGGAAGAGTTGCAGAGTTAATTGCAAATAATGCCATTGTTGATTAGATGCTTTTTTTTATTAATTAGGATACTTCCTCTTGAACCTTATGGTCTATCTAATAGAAACTCATGGACAATGTGGACACAGATATGAAACAATTAAGACTATATATGAATACGTTTAAAAAAAAGTTATTCAAGTATAAATTACCAGAGTTACAATAGATCGACATATATTTACTCTTAATTACCTAAATTACTGAAGATTCCGGTAACTTTGGTAAACTACCTGTAGCTTTGCAACCCTAATGGTGAGGCTCACCTCTAGTAAAGGGAACAGATCCTTGTCTTCATCCTTCAACTGGTTCCACTTTGCTATCAGCGGAGGCATCAGCATCTGAATGTACTCCTAAACACATACAGTAGAACACACATTAGCAATCACAATCCGACACACACCTGAAAGGGGAAATCAAATGCAAGTGTAGATGCTGTATTGCTCAAGTCATTGCTGTGTGTGTGGGAGACGTCATTGGCGGAATGTGTGTGTGTGTGTGTGTCTAAAGATGAGAAAGATTCCTAAAGGAACAATGTTTCCCCCCTCCCCACAAATGTTTTGTCACAGTGCATCTGGCTCACCGGCTCTTTCACCTCGTTAATGATCAAATCAAATCAAATGTGTCACATGCGCCGAATACAACAGGTGTAGACCTTACCGTGAAATGCTTACTTACAAGCCCTTAACCAACAATGCAGTTCAATAAATAAAGTTAAGAAAATACCCTAACTAAAGTAAACAAATCTAATCAAAAAGTAACTCAAGAAAATTACATAACAATAATGAGGCTATATACAAGGGGTACCGGTACAGAGTCAATGTGCGGGGGGTACAGGTTAGTCGAGGTACAGTGACTATGCATCGATACAGTGGCTTTCGAAAGTATTCACCCCCTTGGCATTTTTCCTATTTTGTTGCCTTACAACCTGGAATTAAAATGGATTTTTGGGGGGTTTGTATCATTTGATTTACGCAACATGCCTACCACTTTGAAGATGCAAAATATTTTTTATTGTGAAACAAACAAGAAATAAGACAAAAAAACACTTGAGTGTGCATAACTATTCACCCCTCCAAAGTCAATACTTTGTAGAGCCACCTTTTGCAGCAATTACAGCTGCAAGTCTCTTGGGGTATGTCTCTATAAGCTTGGCACATTTAGCCACTGGGATTTTTGCCCATTATTCAAGGCAAAACTGCTCCAGCTCCTTCAAGTTGGATGGGTTCCGCTGGTGTACAGCAATCTTTAAGTCATACCACAGAATCTCAATTGGATTGAGGTCTGGGCTTTGACTAGGCCATTCCAAGACATTTAAATGTTTCCCCTTAAACCACTCAAGTGTTGCTTTAGCAGTATGCTTAAGGTCATTGTCCTGCTGGAAGGTGAACCTCCGTCCCAGTCTCAAATCTCTGGAAGACTAAAACAGGTTTCCCTCAATAATTTCCCTGTATTTAGCGCCATCCATCATTCCTTCAATTCTGACCAGTTTCCCAGTTCCTGCCGATGAAAAACTTCCCCACAGCATGATGCTGCCACCACCATGCTTCACTGTTGTGATGGTGTTCTCGGGGTGATGAGAGGTGTTGGGTTTGCGCCAGACATAGCGTTTTCCTTGATGGCCAAAAAGCTAAATTTTTGTCTCACCTGACCAGAGTACCTTCTTCCATATATTTGGGGAGTCTCCCACGGCTTAATGTGGTCCTATGGACAGATACTCCTTCAGGGTTATTTTTGTCTCTTTGTTGCCTCTCTGATTAATGCCCTCCTTGCCTGGTCCGTGAGTTTTGGTGGGCGGCCCTCTCTTGGCAGGTTTGTTGTGGTGCCATATTCTTTCCATTTTTTAATAATGGATTTAAATGGTGCTCAATGGGATGTTCAAAGTTTCAGATATTTGTTTATAACCCAACCCTGTACTTCTCCACAACTTTGTCCCTGACCTGTTTGGAGAGCTCCTTGGTCTTCATGGTGCCACTTGCTTGGTGGGGCCCCTTGCTTAGTGGTGTTGCAGACTCTGGGGCCTTTCAGAACAGGTGTATATATACTGAGATCATGTGACACTTAGATTGCACACAGGTGGACTTTATTTAACTAATTATGTGACTTTTGAAGGTAATTGGTTGCACCAGAACTTATTTAGGGGCTTCATAGCAAAGGGGGTGAATACATATGCATGCACCACTTTTTATTTCTTAATTTCTTTGAATTCTTTGAAACAAGTAATTTTTTTCATTTCACTTCACCAATTTGGACTATTTTGTGTATGTCCATTACATGAAATCCAAATAAAAATCAATTTAAATTACAGGTTGTAATGCAACAAAATAGGAAAAACGCCAAGGGGGATGAATATTTTTGCAAGGCACTGTAATAAACAGCGAGTAGCAACAGGGGGGGGGTCAATGTAAATAGTCTGGGTGGCCATTTGATTAATTGTTCATCAGTCTTATGGCTTGGGGGTAGAAGCTGTTAAGGAGCCTTTTGGTCCTAGACATGGAGCTCCGGTACCGCTTGCCGTGCGGTAGCAGAGAGAGCAGTCTATGACTTGGGTGACTGGAGTCTTTCACCATTTTTTGGCCCTTCGTCTGACACCGCCTGGTATAGAGGTCCTGGATGGCAGGAAGCTTGGCCCCAGTGATGTACTGGACCGTACGCACTACCCTCTGAAAAGATTTGGCATGGGTCCCCAGATTCTCATAAAGTTATACAGCTGCACCATCGAGAGCATTCTGACCGGTTGCATCACCGCCTGTTATGGCAACTTCTCGGCGTCTGACCGTAAGGCACTAGGAAGCTTGGCCCCAGTGATGTACTGGGCCGTACGCACTACCCTCTGTAGCGCGTACGGCCCAGTACATCACTGGGGCCAAGCTTCCTGACCGTAAGGCGCTACCCTCTATAGCACCTTACGGTCAGATGCCGAGCAGTTGAAATACCAGGCAGTGATGCAACCGGTCAGGATGCTCTCGATGGTACAGCTGTATAACTTTTTGAGAATCTGGGGACCCATGCCAAATCTTTTCAAACTACTGAGGGGGAAAAGGTGTTGTCGTGCCCTCTTCACAACTGTCTTGGTGTGTTTGGACCATGATAGTTTGTTGGTGATGTGGACACCAAGGAACTTGAAACTCTCGACCCGCTCCACTTCAGCCCCGTCGATGTTAATGGTGGCCTGTTCGGCCTTCCTTTTCCTATAGTCCACAATCAGCTCCTTTGTCTTGCTCACATTGAGGGAGAGGTTGATGTCCTGGTACCACACTGCCAGGTCTCGGACCTCCTCCCTATAGGCTGTCTCATTGTTGTCGGTGATCAGGCCCACCACTGTTGTGTCGTCGGCAAACTTAATGATGGTGTTGGAGTCGTGCTTGGCCACGCAGACGTGGGTGAACAGGGAGTACAGGAGGGGACTAAGCAAGCACCCCTGATGCAAGTGTTTCTTAGTTCTTCAGTCTGTTGCATGTAGAATATCCTAGCCTATTCATTGATGATAGGCCCTGCTTTACTGAAGTTGCGAGACATTGCAAGCCAAGAAATTGCAAAATACAGAGTTCCATTGCGAGATACAACTTTTGATTGCTGATAGATAGGCCTAGTGCACGGTTCTGATTCCGTCTGCCTGGTGGCCGACCTGAATGTACTTTGCCCCTCCCTTCTCTCTCCGTCCCTCGCTATGAAAGATGCTAGTGTTTGTGTTCTCGGAAGTACGGTAACTAATCAGTCTCCTCCATTCCAAATATACGGAATATTAGTAGTCGATTCCTAGCGTAAGATGTTTTCTTCTAGTAAATGTCTTGGTAAGTCACGGTATTTAACAAACTTTAAAGCACTTTTTTAGGATAGAGTGGTCTGCGCGCAGGCAGCTCAAGATTATTTCATTGACAGTTCTGGTCGCCATAGAAGGTTCCGTGTCGGCATTTAAGAAGCTGTAGTGTACCCTTACAAACAAACGTGCCATAGCCGAGGTGCTTTCAAGGGTATATTCTTAAGAGTCTACTGACGAACCAGCGCATCAATCTAAGTAAATAATAAAAAATCCCCATCACAATCCTTCAATTTAGAAGATATATTTTTAACACGGGCTGTGTCTCAATCCGCCACATCTGCCTATGTCTGCCTTCCGCATCTGCAGTGGAAGGTGGCCGAGCTACAGCGGTGTTTGTCAGACCATGAGTCATCTTCTCACAAAAACTTCTGTAGCGTCCAAAACGTTTGGCCTCTGTGGAAAGGGGAGACTCTCACGAACAAGATGGTGTTCTCTGTTTTGCTCTACAACCCCCACAAGTGCCATTGGCGGATGCGGTTTTGCACCCCATGCAAAAAAACATATCTCTAGCTTAAACGTTAAGCAAAATGTTCCATTTATCACATCCCTAGTATCTATGTGTGTGTCTGTGTATACCGGCTTGTTGAGGTGGTGTCCCACAGAGTCAGCGAGCGTCCCTATAGCGTCGTACAGTATGAGCAGGTTCTTGTGTTGGTACTTGCTGAAGGCAAACACCAGCGTGTCCAGAATATAGGCCAGGTAGGGAACCAACTCTGTACACGCCTCCTCTTCCAGAGTGGCAAAGGCACTAAGAGAGGGGAGAGAGAGAAGAGAGAGGAGGGAGGGGGGAGGGGAGGGGAGAGAGAGGGGGGAGGGGAGGGGGAGAGAGAGGGGGGAGGGGAGGGGAGAGAGAGAAAGGGGTGAGAGGAAAAACAAAGGGTAGTTTAGAACAGCACTTTGCAATCAAGCTGTTCAAAAAATGTTTGATTGGATCAACCAATAGTCACAATCATCATATTTCCACTCCCAAGGACAGTCATCGCTAGCTTGAGTTGGAAAACCAAAAGCCACTTATTACTGGTTATCTATCGATCATTTACGCACACAAAAAAATACCGGACACATCTGGTCAAACGTAACGACAGCAAACCACAAACTGACCGCAACTGAACCACAGCCAACCCCCCTCTCACCTGCAGGCGGCCTCCTGCACCCTCTTGTTGGAGTCCAGGATGCGTTTGAGCAGCTCAGTCATCAGGGGCTTCAGGTAGGTGTCAGGTGGCTGGCTGACCACCCAGTGGGCATAGCGACTCAGGGTCCAGCAGGTGATGGAGCGCACCAGGGCCTTCTTATCACTCAGACACTGCACCAGGTGGGGGATGAGCTCTGGCAGGTAGGTAATCATACCCTGCATACAACCTGGAGGAGGAAGGTGGGTGTTATTACTATAATTAACATGTATGTCAATGATGTCTGCTGGTTTCAAAGTTTACATATAGAAGATATTCTAGCATTGCCATTGGACAATCAGTAACCACTCCCAAGGTGAGTCTCATCCTCCCTCCAAAGTCTCTTTCTCCTATCTCTTTCGGGCATAACACTTCCTTCCCTTTCTCTCCTCTGGTTTCTCCCCCCACCTTAGGGGTTAGGGTACTATAACAGGACCTTACCCTCAGCGATAGCCCCCAGAACCAGTATTCCAGACTCCTTGATGACCCACTCTGGGTGGAAGAGGAGCTCTTTGAGGAGAGGCAGGATGGGGAGGAGCAGGTCGTCTCTGAACACGTTAGCCAACACGTCCAACGCCGCTGCTGAACACTTACCTGGAGACAGACAGCGAGAGAGGGACATGTAAACATAGAGAGGTACACAGACAGGCACACACAAAAAAAGGTCAATAATATTGATGGCATAGTCTACATATGTGGGGTAAGGCTGGAAGAGAGACGGCAAGAGAAAGAGAACGAGAAAACGAGTGGATGGAGATTGGAGAGGAGGGAGAGAGAGAGAGCTAGGGAAATCGTGAATGAGGAAAGAAAACTGAGTAAGTGAGACAAAGGCAGAGAAAAACAGATAATCAGAGGTCCACTCACGGAGGTTCCAGTCAGAGATGGTGTCGTCATCGTCCAGGTCATCGTCTTCATCGTCGTCTTCCTCAATGCCGTCCCGTTCACCCTCGTGTTGCTGGGCAACCGTACGGGAGCGGTGGAACCTGGGCCTGATGTCCTGCTCGTTGTCAGGGATGGCCTCATCATCCTCCTCCACGTCACCCTGACACACACACACACACACACACACACACACACAGTTAAACACACAAGTCTCACAAAAACACAAAGTTACACACTCGCAAGTGTACACACACACACACACACACACACACACACACACAGGTATGCAATTCTAATTATTTCTACTACTTTAAGACAATGAGCTGCCTTTAGGCTGTAGCTGGGTAGCTGTCAGTTCACCTATCAGACTCTAATCATACAAGCAGACAGAGACACATACATATTTATGCATCTTTAAATATGAATATCATTGTAACCATAGTGACTGGCCAGTGACGGGCGATACTTCTACCTTAGGACCAACACACACCCAATATTGAGAGACAGCCATGCACACCCACAAGATTGATTTGCCTGGCCTGCCAATACCCTCCACCCTCTCCCTCCCCCAGGGTTGAGGTGTGATGTGTCCAGTACATCTTAATCACAGTCTCCAGTCCGGCAGCAGGCTAGCAGGCCACAGATCCATTTCCTGGCTCATACTCGGAGCAGACTGACCTTGAGCAGAATGATGTCGATCTCCGAATACTTCATCCCGTTGACGAGCACCGGAGTCAGCCTGAAAACAGACGGGGGGGGGAGCGGTAGCAAGGACAGGCCACATTAATACATCAGCATTGTCACCACCGTGGAACAGATGAGCACTAACAGACAGGATAAGGACAGTACACCCAGGGGTGAGATCTACAATGACAGTGTGGGATTGGAGCAAATATTATAGCTAAAGCTTTGATATGGAGGCTGGTGTTGTACTGTGTGTGTGTCACAAAGCATTTGTGCTGCTATGACAGTCTGTTCTTTCCCATATGCCATCTCTAACATTCTTGTAGCATCATCTGTGAGCTGTTCTCTGTGTGTGTGTGTGTGTGTGTGTGTATATATATATATATATATATATATATATTGTGTTACTCACTTGGAGAGGTGGTTACACAGAACATCCTTACAGACAGGTTGTTCAGCCAGGGTCAGCCAGAACTCACAGGCCTCCAGAGCCACGTTCTCATCCTGGTCCTGAGTCCTCTGCAGCATGTACTGAGGAGGAGAGGACCATGGGAAAATGAGTCCTTTTGCATTATACTTGTAGTGCACTTCCTCCATCATTATTCAGGATCCATTTCAAGGCCACAAGCTGGGCAGCCACAATCACCCAACTGATTATGTATCAAACTGGCTGGAAAATATAGCTTTTGGCCACAAGGAGGCAGCTTGAGCTCATTTGATGAAATACTTAGCTGAATCTATTCTATTGGTTCGTTTTCCTCACTTCTTTCCTCTCTATATCCCTCCCCCTCTCCATCTCTTCCTCCCTTCATCTCAACCTCCTTCGCTCCCCCTACCTCAACCTCCTTTCCTCCCCCTACATCTCCCTCCTCTAAACCCATGGTTGTCCCAGTCCTACCCCACAAAGCCCCAGTTCCAGCACCAGTCCTACCCCACCCAGGCCCAGCCCCACCCTACCCAACTCCAGTCCTACCCCACCCAGCCCCAGCCCTACCCCACCCAGTCCTACCCCACCCAGCCCCAGTCCAATGCCACCCAGACCCATTCCTAGCCCCAGTACCCAAGTCCCAGTCTCACCTCTATGATGCTGTGCATGTGTGGTAGGAGACGGTCCATGCGGACCTCCAGCAGCATGACCAGAGCTCTGCACACATTCTTCCTCACCTCAGGTTCCTCATCAGTCGCCAGGGCAAATAGGTTCTACAGGGAGGGAAGGGGGTCAAACATCGTACACCCATGTACACATACTAGTCTCAAAGGGGCTATTATTCCTCACTTCACATGATTTGTTCAAACATTACTAATGAATCTAAAAGATTGGCCAAATGATCAGCTTCCACCATATTGTTTTCACCGGTCAAATACTTTCTAATCAGTGCAGATGAAAGGAAGGAGACGAGATGAGGACACATTTTGAGGTAATTGAGATAGAGCCATGGAAAGGTTACTTGAGTTCAGACAATAATGTCTTCATGTGCGTCCTGAGGTCTGACCTGACCTGTACCACTTACGACTACTGAGCCTCTAGCCATCTACCAACCACCTGAGCCTCCACTGACCAGGACCATCTCCTTTTACTCAACGCCTGTTATCAACTCTGTCCTTTTGCCTGTTATCACATAACAAAGAATTCCAGTGAAAAAAGCTCTATAAAAAACACCCTACAGAAATAAACCAATTCAGAGTGTGTAAATCGGATTCTATGTGACCTGTGCCTCTTCTACGTCGAGTGCCCGCTCTCTCAACTCCACAGCTAAAGACAGAGGGACTCAACAGCAGCCTTTTCTTTATCTCTTATCCGCCTGCAATATTCTTCTGCCTGTCATGTGTTGTCAATGTCACTGTGCTGGGTGCATCTGTCCTCATCCAGTGCCCAGCTGGCTGGAATTTAAGCTCATCAGTGGTTAACCTGATCTACTTCCAACGGCTTACCAGCCCTGATCCAATCGGAGGAATTGGGGTTTGTGTACTGAACTGAAGCTAGGGTAGAACAGTGTGGGGCTGCCTAGAGGCTCAGCGCTAACCCACTGACCCACTGCACTGAGAGCTAAGGCCATATACCTGCCTGCCTGGCTGATGCCTTCTGGGTCTTATGGCTGGGATGGGTGTGTGTGTGTGTGTATGATGATGGCTAAATGGCCATGTGTGATGGTCAGGAGATGTAGGAGAGGTGTTGTGTGTGTCAAGGGGGGTATGCACTAGTTGGGTGGGCTCTGTATGTTTGTGCACATGGTATATGACTTGTTTGCATGACGTCGGGGCCACAGGAGGCTCATGGCATGTGTCTGACTTTGTGGGCATATTAGACAGTCACAGGGCTGTCTGGGGGTTATGGGATGTCAGAGTGTATAGGTCAGAGGTCACTGCGGGGTCAGACTTGCCTCAATGAAGCCATCGATGTGCAGCATGAGGGCCTGGGTCCTACTGATGATGAACTGGTTGACGCAGGCGATGGCATGAGACCTGCAACACAACAAGACAACAGACCCTTTAAAACCTTAACTTCACACAACCTAAATTCACATGTTCCCCCTCATCAATGCTGCCTCGGTGTCTGTTCCTCCCCCCACCTCCCTTTTCTATCCACGTTTTCCCCCCAGTCTCCAATCTGGGATCTCAGACCTTGATAACACCAAAGGATGGATACAAATCAGAGAGAAAGTTTTATCTATAAGCCTGAGGAAAGAGGGATCTGAGGGGCCATTTTGGATCAAAGCGCCTGTGAATGTAGCTGGATCTTAAAAATAAAAAAATATACTTGCTATGGGTTGTTTTGGGAGCGATTAGAGGAGGGGCAAGGTCTTGGCTCCCCCGGGAGTGAGGAGTGAGGGAAAGAGGCAAGGCTGTGAGCAGGGAGAGAGAGGGAGGCACAGTACACTCATACTAGAGTACAGTCATTCCTTCTAGGGACTTTTCCTTACCACTGTGCTTCAGCTTGCTATTTGGGGTCTAGGCCAGGTTATTGTAGGGTGTCAAAACAAAAACAAAATATTTTGACCAAAGGGTAAGATATGTTAATTGTGTAGATACTCCTCTAAAGAAAACCAATGGTCCAAACCTCATGTCTTTATCATAATCCGTTCAAAAGGTTATTGGTGTTTTAACCCTTTTAGTATGGCCAAAATTAGGGCAACTAAATCAATGGAGGCCCCCCAAAAATCTGGAAAATATAATTGTCAGCTAGGCTGGATGCTGTCCGAAAATTAAGGCTAACTGAAAGGCTCACCGTTGAACTAGTCATCTTTCTTCTCAAATCCGGAGGACATAAAACAATAGAGGTAAGATGGATATCGATTTTCATATTAATACGAAATTCCTGTTATTTTTCGAAGATTTCTCACAAAAACACTGAAATGTCAACGGTGCACTGAGCGTACGGCAAGCTTTTTATTTTCAAAGACTTTTACATTTAATTCAGAAGTTGCAGCGAGAAAGCGGCACCGCTCTGTCAACAGAACTCTGTGCTTATTATCGGAACTATTAGGTTACGAAATCCGACATTTTGGATATAATGTTGATATGTTAGAGAAATACTGAACGAACGATTCAGAACATGAAGAATCATATTTGTCTTTGTTAAAATGTATTTTATGACAAAAGGAAGTGAAATGTCCTCACCAAAGTGCATTTTCACCCACTCTGGAGTGGGTGCACACCCTACACATTGTGACAACTGCTGTTGTAAAAAAAGGCTTTATAAATATATTTGGTTTAATTTGATCAGGAAGTAAGGGCTGTTAAGGAAGCTCATTGGCCAAGGAGTGAGGGAGAGAGAGAGAAGGCAGTGAGCAGGGGTACCGGGAGAGTTTACCAGTACCTGATCTTCGGGCTGCTGTGCTTGAAGAACTGCAGGAACTTTGGGATCATGACATTGAGCGGACGGTCCAACACGTCACTGTCCAAGACCTCTGCTGAGTCCTCACAGATTTTCTGAAGAGCTCCAAATGCCCCCTGAAAGATTGTGGGGGGGGGGGGGGAGAGAAAGAGTGAGATATGGAAAGATAGCAAGAGACAGGAGGAAGGGATAGAGAGATGAAAAGAGAGGGGGTGAAGGGTAAACCAATATGTTTCAGGGTCAGAGTCGCCTCAAAGACAGGAGATGGAGCACAGACCATATGGACAGTAAACATGTCATACTCCATCAACCCTGAGTCAACCTATAAAAAAAGACAAGTACTGTATCTAACGTCAGCACAAGGATAAACACATAAACCAGACCCGGCTGGCCACTCAGGAAATGAACAGCAGGAGGTATTGGTGAATTTGAAGGTGAAACATAAAACAGCTACAGTGTAGGCCTAATCATGTGAGAGGCAGTCAGACTGTATACTGTAGTCGTTCTATAACGACTACAGTAAAGAAAGCTTTCACCATCAAAGTCAACAGCGCTTCCGTGATACACAGAATGGCACACATGCACACTAAACTGAGTCCAGCAAGTGTCCACTTGGCCGAACGGACAGATGTACACTACATGACCAAAAGTATGTGGACACCTGCTCGTCAAACATCTCATTCCAAAATCATGGGCATTAATATGGAGTTAGTCCCCCCTTTGCTGCTATAACAGCCTCCACTCTTCTGGGAATGCTTTCCAAATCAAATTTTATTGATCACATACACATATTTAGCAGATGTTATTGCGGGTGTAGCGAAATGCTTGTGTTCCAAGCTCCATCAGTGCAGTAGTATCTAACAATTCACAACAATACACACAAATCTAAAGTAATATAATGGAATTAAGAAATATATCAATATTAGGATGAGCAATGTCGGAGTGGCATTGACTAAAATACAGTAGAATAGAATACAGTATATACAGTACCAGTCAAAAGTTTGAACACACCTACTCATTCCAGGGTTTTTCTTTATTTTTACATTGTAGAATAATAGTGAAGACATCAAAACTATGAAATAACACATACGGAATCATGTAGTAACCAAAAAAGTGTTAAATCAAAATATATTTAAGATTTTAGATTCTTCAAAGTAGCCACCCTTTGCCTTGATGACAGCTTTGCACACTCTTGGCATTCTCTCAACCAGCTTCACCTGGAATGCTTTTCCAACAGTCTTGAAGGAGTTCCCACATATGCTGAGCACTTGTTGGCTGCTTTTCCTTCACTCTGAGTTCCAACTCATCCCAAACCATCTCAATTGAGTTGAGGTCGGATGATTGTGGAGGCCAGGTCATCTGATGCAGCACTCCATCACTATTCTTGGTCAAATAACCCTTACACAGCCTGGAGGTGTGTTGGGTCATTGTCCTGTTGAAAAACAAATGATAGCCCCACTAAGCCCAACCCAGATGGGATGGCGTACCGCTGCAGAATGCTGTGATAGCCATGCTGGTTAAATGTGCCTTGAATTCTAAATAAATCACCTACAGTGTCACCAGCAAAGCACCCCCACACCATCACACCTCCTCCTCCATGCTTCACGGTGGGAACCACACATGCAGAGATCATCCGTTCACCTACTCTGCGTCTCACAAAGACACGGCGGTTGGAACCCAAAATCTCAAATTTGGACTCATCAGACCAAAGGACAAATTTCCACCGGTCTAATGTCCATTGCTCATGTTTCTTGGTCCAAGCAAGTCTCTTCTTATTATTGGTGTCCTTTAGTAGTGGTTTCTTTGCAGCAATTCGACCATGAAGGCCTGATTCACACAGTCTCCTCTGAACAGTTGATGTTGAGATGTGTCTGTTACGTGAACTCTGTCAAGCATTTATTTGGGCTGCAATTTCTGAGGCTGGTAACTCTAATGAACTTATCCTCTGCAGCAGAGGTAACTCTGGGTCTTCCTTGCATGTGGCGGTCCTCATGAGAGCCAGTTTCATCATAGCGCTTGATGGTTTTTGCGACTGCACTTGAAGAAACTTTCAAAATTCTTGACATTTTCGGGATTGACTAACCTTCATGTCTTAAAGTAACGATCGACTGTTGTTTCTCTGCTTATTTGAGCTGTTCTTGCCATAATATGGACTTTGTCTTTTACCAAATAGGACTATGTTCTGTATACCACCCCTACCTTGTCACAACACAACTGATTGGCTCAAATGCATTAAGAAGGAAATAAATTCTACAAGTTAACAAGGCACACCTGTTAATTGAAATGCATTCCAGGTGACTACCTCATGAAGCTAGTTGAGAGAATGCCAAGAGTGTGCAAAGCTGTCATCAAGGCAAAGGGTGTCTACTTTGAAGGATGTCAAATATAAAATATACCTTGATTTGTTTAACCCTTTTTTGGTTACTAAATTATTCCATATGTGTTATTTCATAGTTTTGATGTCTTCACTATTATTTCTACAATGTAGAAAATAGTAAAAATAAAGAAAAACCCTGGAATCAGTAGGTGTGTCCAAACTTTTGACTGGTATTGTACATATGAAATGAGTAAAGCAGTATGTAAACATTATTAAAGTGACTAGTGTTTCCATGTCTATGTATATGGGGCACCAGCCTCTAAGGTGCAGGGTTGAGTAACCAGGTGGTTGTCGGCTAGTGATGGCTATTTAACAGTCTGAAAGCCTTGAGATAGAAGCTGTTTTTCAGTCTCTCGGTCCCAGCTTTGATACACCTGTACTGACCACTAGATGTTGAAACATTGCTGCAGGGACTTGCTTCCAATCAGCCAGAAGAGCATTAGTGAGGTCGGACACTGATGTTGGGCGATTAGGCCTGGCTCGCAGTTGGCGTTACAATTCATCCGAAAGGTGTTCTGTGCAGACCAGTCAAGTTCTTCCACACCAATCATGACAAACCATTACTTTATGGTCCTCGCTTTGTGCATGGGGGCATTGTCATGCTGAAAAAGGAAAGGGCCTTCCCCAAACTGTTGCCACAAAGTTGGAAGCACAGAATTGTCTAGAATGTCATTGTATGTTGTAGCGTTAAGATTTCCCTTCACTGAAACTAAGGGGCCTAGCCCGAACCATAAAATCAGCCCCAGACCATTATTCCTTCTCCACCAAACTTTACAGGTGGCACTATGCATCGGGGCAGGTAGCGTTCACCTGGCATCCGCCAAACCCAGATTCGTCCGTCGGACTGCCAGATAGTGAAGCGTGATTCATCACTCCAGAGAACGCGTTTCCACTGCTCCAGAGTCTAATGGCGGTGAGCTTTACACCACTCCAGCCGATGCTTGGCATTGCGCATGGTGATCTTAGTCTTGTGTGCGGCTGCTCGACCATGGAAACCCATTTAATGAAGCTCCCGACTAACAGTTCTTTGCTGACATTGCTTCCAGAGGCAGTTTGGAACTCTGTAGTGCGTGTTGCAACCGAGGACACAAGAGTTTTACATGCTACGCGCTTCAGCACCCGTTCTGTGAGCTTGTGTGGCCTACCACTTTGCGGCTGAGCCGTTGTTGCTCCTAAACGTGTTGCTCCTAAACGTTTCCACTTCGCAATAACAGCACTTGCAGTTGATCGGGGCAGCTCTAGCAGGGCAGAAATTTGACGAACTGACTTGTTGAAAAGGTGGCATCCTATGACGGTGCCACGTTGAAAGTCACTGAGCTCTTCAGTAAGGCCATTCTACTGCCAATGTTTGTCTATGGAGATTGCATGGCGGTGTGCTCGATTTTACACACCTGTCAGCATTGGGTGTGGCTGAAAAAGCGAAATCCAATCATTTCAAAGGGTGTCCACATACTATTGTATATATATATATATATATATATATATATATATATATATATATATATATATATATATATATATATATATATATATATATATATATATATATAGTGTTTCAATGAGAGCCACATATCACCACGTGTCTATGCACTAAGCAGCAGAGCGTAAAGCTTGACTACTGTACAGGAGTGTCTTATCTTCCACTTGTAAGATATGTAATATTTTCTCCCAACCTCTCTTTGTCACTCAATGCCCTTGAGCCCACAACTAGCAAACATCACAGCTGTCCATTAAATACAGTGCCTTTAGAAAGTATTCACACTCTGGACTTTTTCCACATTTTGTTGCGTTACAGCCTGTATTTAAAATGGATTACATTTAAGAATTTGTCACTGGCCTACACATACACACAATATCCCATAATGTCAAAGTGGAATTATGTTGTTCAAAATCTTAACAAATTAATACAAATGTAAAAGCTGAAATGTCTTGAGTAAGTATTCAACCCCTTTGTTATGGCAAGCCTAAACAAGTTCAGGAGTAAAAATGTGCTTAAGTCACATAACAAGCTGCATGGACTCTGCATGGACTCTGTGTGCAATAATAGTGTTATTATTTTTTGAATGACTACCTTATCTCTGTACCGCACACATACAGATAATTGTATGGTCCCTCAGTCGAGCAGTGAATTTCAAAATAGATTTAACCACAAAGACCAGGGAGGTTTTCCATTGCCTCGCAAAGGGCACCTATTGGTAGATTTAAAAAAAAACATTGAATATCCCTTTGAGCATGGTGAAGTTATTAAATTACACTTTGGACGGTGTATCAATACACACAGTAACTACAAAGATACAGGCGTCCTTCCTAACTCAGTTGCCGGAGAGGAAGGAAACCGCTCAGTGATTTCACCATGAGGCCAATGGGGACTTTAAAACAGTTACAGAGTTGAATTGCTGTGATAGGAGAAAACTGAGGATGGATCAACAACATTGTTGTTACTCCACAATACTAACCTAATTAACAGAGTGAAAAGAAGGAAGCCTGTACAGAATAAAAATATTCCAAAACATGCATCCTGTTTGCAACAAGGCAGTAAGGTAATACTGCAAAAAATATGGCAGGAAATTAACTTTTTGTCCTGAATACTAAGTGTTATGTTTGGGGCAAATCCAATACAACACATTCCTGAGTACCACCCTCCATATTTTCAAGCATAGTGGTGGCTGCATCATGTTATGGGTATGCTTATAATCGTTAAGGACTGGGGAGTTTTTCAGGAGAAAAAATAAACAGAATGGAACTAGAGGAAAACCTGTTTCAGTCTGCTTTCCACCAGACACTGGGAGATGAATTCACCTTTCAGCAGGACAATAACCTAAAACACAAGGCGAAATCTACACTGGAGTTGCTTACCAAGAAAACCGTGAATGTTCCTGAGTGGCCGAGTTAGTTGACTTAAATCTACTTGAAAATCCATGGCAAGACCTGAAAATGGTTGTCTATCAATGATCAACAACCAATTTGACAGAGCTTGAAGAATTAAAAAAAAGTAAATGTGTACATATTGCACAATCCAGGTGTGCAGAGCTCTTAGAGACTTACCCAGAAAGACTCACAGCTGTAATCATTGCCAAAGATGCTTCTACAAAGTATTGACTCACCGGTGTGAATACTTATGTAAATTAGATATTTAATTTTCAATACATTTGCTAACATTTCTAAAAACATGCTTTCACTGTCATTGTGGGGTAAAGTGTGTTGATGGGTGAGAAAAAAAATATATTTTATCCATTTTGAATTCAGACTGTAACAACAAAATGTGGAATAGGTCAAGAGGTATGAATCCTTTCTGAAGGCACTGCACACACAAATACGCACAAGCCCCTTGAAAAGCTCCATTGTCCAAATCTAACGAGGACATTGACGTTGTAAGCCTGCATCATGTTTGAATGCAGCTGATGTGCAGTTGTGTCTGTATCTGTAAATAATGATAATGCAGCCTTGGAACATCTCTGCCCAGGGAAATATATACTTGATTGACAGCAGTGGCAGGCAAGTTCAATATGCCGCCAGTCGTACATCACACACACAGAGAGGAATCGAATGCAACAAAGAGCACGGCGGCTGTGGCAGCGGTGCTGTCTGAGGGTCGTTTCCTAGGTAACCATTTCCAGGGTGGGCGCTCTTTTCTTCCAACCAGTCAGCTTAGAGACTGAGACCGAGACAACGTGGTTAAAGAAAATATGAGGTTTCTGTCTGTATGAGAGACAGCCGGTCCAACCAAGGTTAAACCAAGGTCAACAATGATATAGCACACAAGGAAGTGGATGCAGCCTATTAGGATGGAGACTGTGTAGGCAAAGGTTAAAGATATTTATAAACCGGGTGGGTCGAGCCCTGAATGCTGATTGGCTGAAAGGTATATCAGACCATATACCACGGTTATGATGAAACATCTATTTTTACTGTTCTAATTTCGTTGGTAACCAGTTTATAATAGCAATAAATCACCTCTGAGAGCTGAGGGCTGTTTCCAGGCACTCTGCGTTGTGTCCTGCTTAAGAACAGCCCTTAGCTTAATTATTGCTTAATTATACCACAGCGTTGTTAAATACTAATTTCAGATTGGCTAGAAGGACATTCTAGAGGGGTCATTATATTTTGTGAGAGATTTATTATGTTTATAATTGATGGGATGACTAACTTAGAAAGAATGCATTCTTGACTGGGCTAATGTAGGTTGTGACACCTGGCAAGCTGTGATTGATGTGAAGAGCTGTTTTAGGAGGTAAAGGGAGATTTGTGTCTCCAGATGCTGGAATATACTGGTTCTTTGTGATCTGTGAACCTTCCTTGGACGTAGGAATGGTGTCTAAGGGAGCTGGCTCTTCTCACTATGACAGGTTGTTATGATATGGACATATGCCTGGTAACAGAGATGCATCAACGGATTGACTGAGTAAGTCTAAACCACGCTCAAGTCTCTACTCTAATTGGTCAGCAGAGAGGTGGGAAACTCCCTCTGTCAGAGTATTTGAGCAAGAACCCAGAACAATGGGTTAGTTCTCTGGGGTGCCCTGCGAGGTATTTCAGAGAGCCCGTATATACGAAACATCATATTTACCATTGAAGGTTTTTGCATTAATTAAAATAACTAGTATATCTTAGAAGTCGTGTTGACCTCTTTTGTTCCTAATACCAGATTTGAATTGACGCAACTTTGACAATTTACTGTAGATATACAGGACAGCATTGTCTCACATCAGACAGTGATTCAAATTCACTTTCAAATTCACAAATTCAAATTCAGACGGCCGTCATGCTGATCTGTCTGATTACTTGCAAACACTCATGAGATTGCTAAAAATAAGTTTGGCCAGTTTCTAAACCTTTAGACCCGATGAAGTGCTTCTGCACATGAGCTTAGCTAGTGTAGCACATGGGGATTTGTGACACGTACTCCTTAGCCTTAAGTGTCCCGCTTGCGTCGCCTCATTATCTAGCTTTTGAGGTGGCCGGATCAGCTAAGACGCTTGAGTGCGGTCACGTGTGTTTGTGAGGCAGAAGACCCGAGTTTGTGCCAGGTATGGGCCAAAATAGGAGGAAGTGGTACTTGCTAAGCAAGCAGCGTGACGGCGTTTACACTAGCCAACGTCGCCATTGCATCGTCTACAAGTGTTATAGGGGATTTCTATTGAAGAAGCAGTGTCTGCCTATTTTCATACTGTACCGTCTTCATACTGCTACAATATGCTGCCCTAACTAGGGGTGTGAATGTTTAAACGACAGTGGGATCGTTAACGTTTAGAAAAAATCCCTAACCGAAAAACCTAAAATCACAGTGCAGTTATCACAAAACTACCACTAACAGGCCCCGATCATCATAAAGGGAAAAATATAAATAAATGCTGTAACATTAGTAGGAGATATGCATCTTTCAAAAGATTTGCCACGGATCGAAAGCGCTCTGCACGTCATCATCGTTAGCAGTTAGAAAAATGGCAGAGTGATACAGCAGCGAAGCCCTGTATGGAAACAGCCTACTTTGAGAAGTTACATGAGAAGGTGATGAAATGCAAACTTTGCTAGGTGGAATTGAGCTACATTGGCAGTACAGGTGCGATGCTGAAAGGGATGATAACCCGTAGAAAATCACAGCGCTGATTACTGAAACGATTGCAGTAATGCACTTGATATGCAGCCAATGTGAGAATGTCGGCTTTAATACCCTAATGGCATATCTAGAAACAAGCCTTGTTAGACGTCTATGAATACGCTGTCATACATCACTGCAACGAGCAATCACATTGATGAGAAGTGGGACGAAGTACGTACTGACAACTGAGAACATGGAGGACAGGCACACAACAGAGAAACTAAAACGGCATTAATCCCATTGTTGCGGAATGGAAGGTGTGTGCCGTCTGGTAGGGGTTTCCACTAGATACGACAGCCACAAAGTCAATATATAATTTTGGGGGGGCTATATTGTAAAAATGTATGAAAACAAATGTATATTTTTGGCCTTAATTTAAGGTTAGGGTTAGGCATAAGGTTAGCAGTGTGGTTAATGTTAGGGTTAGGTTTAAAATCAAATTTTAAGAAGATATATTGTAGAAATACGCAGGCGTTATGACTTTGTGGTTGTTGTAACTGGTGACTACCGGTAGGTAGTAGCCAGGACTGCGGCAGATTGAACTGCATTGCCCCCTAACGGTCATACTCAGAACCACATCTGAATTGTGAGCTCGTCATTTTACATATTTTCATTTATTTATGATATTTGTTTTAATGGCACTTTAACCGTTAAGACAAATGTTACATCCCTAGTCCTAACATTTGATAAATGTTACCAAGATGACGTCACCCACTGAACCCCCTTTCATCCTCAAAAGAGTAGGAGTTAATCTTACCAAAAACGATAAACCTGTAGCTAATATTTACGTTTTTCTTCATGAGCATGTCTTCACTACCTAATTCTACATCTAGCTAAGGTGTTTGTGGTGGTATAATCAGTATTTATGAAATTTGAAATGTGCAGGAAAATCTGGTAGTATCTGCTTGCTGGCTGAAACAGTCTCAAATCAATCCATATGAAACGAAAAAGGGAGGGATGCTAACAACGCCAGTTCACACACTCAATGCTGAATATCCCTCTAGCTAGCGCAGAAGTTGTAGCTAATGCACAAAGGTTATCTCGTTAGCCAACTGTTACAAAGTAGCGAGGCACAGTGCCAGCTTCTGTCAGAGTCAAATACATGCCATTTTCTGAGAACAGTCTCATAACTTTGGTGCCATACAACTTCATCAACAACCTGGCAAACTAGCTACCGTATGGCCATTCAAACAAGCTTGCTCAGCTGATCGAGCTTGGTTTGCCGCCAGTGCGTCATAGCTACTAAGGGCAAGAGCGGAGTGATTTTGAAAATTAAGAACTAGTGTTAGGCGGATGAGAAAAATCTATTTTTTTATTAATTCCAAGTCCTACAATACAGATAGTTTGAGGGACGAGCTGTGCGCAGGAGTGACAACATCTGACGTGACACAATGTACGGGACAGTTGGAAAGATATAGGAAACCTCTGAAGTAGTTCCAACAATAGGCGCCTTTTTACCGTTCTAAAGCACTGCACCATGCAGAACATACTTGCTACAAAGTTACAGAAAGCTAAACAACAACCACACAAACTGAAATTGGATACATTGTAAATGCAGGTCCAGCAAGGTAAAACTTAGCTAGCTAGCAGTCATTCATTTGTTTTTGCAGAGACATATTTTTTGCAGCTTCTGATGACTGGGACAGGTGTGTGTGTGTGTGTGTGAAAAAGAGAAAGCAGGAGGGCAGTAAGACTAAGAGCACATTGCAATGAACCTGGACAGTCCTTGTAAGACTAAGAGCCTTGCTGTGGATATGTGCAAGAATGACAACTATGCTAAATAATCCGAGCCTGTTGAGAGGAGAGAGAACGGGGTTAAATAAACAACTAATTGTAATACTTCTTTATCCTCTCAGTTAGAAAGCTATGTTCAGACACAACATGGTAGTCTATACAGTACACTGTACAGTGTCTGAATGAGCAAGCACCAGCCAGAGCTACACTCGGTTGTTCGGTCAGTCGACAGCAACACACACACCAACACCTTCCAACCGCCAGGCCGGCTGTTAATCACCACAGTAAAAACTGCTCTCCAGCAAAACCATCAGCCAACATTCTATAAGTGTGAGGTGACATCACACACACATACACACCTGCTCTGGTCTTTTTATAGCCAGAGGGGCGCGAGAGGGGCGAAAGGGGAAGAAAGGGAGAGAGAGAAAGGGGTGACAGAGGGGAGAGAGAGGAGAATGGGAACAAGAGGGGGAAATAGGAGAGAAGGGTTGAGAGAGGAGAGAGAGGGGTAGAGAGAAGGGTTATAGAGGGCCCCTCAGACTGCTTTGAGGAGACAGAACAGGATGGGATCGGACGCGGTCTGTGGTCGTAGTGACTGCTGTGCTGACAGACACCTGTGTGGAGTTAGCATTAGGGTTGAGTGATGTCTGGAATGACACATCGTCCCATCCAAACATTGTTGATATACTATTGTATCGTCTACAAAAAGTCCCACTGTACCTAACATCATTACTGTACTTTAGACATACAAGTTACCAAACCCGGTCTCAGGGATGGCTATCTCTGGAAATTCCTTTGATCTCTACTGAGTTTGGTAAATCAGCTTTTAGTTTTCTTGCACCTTATTTTTGGAACAATCTTCAAAATGTTCCTAAATTTGATGTTTTGGTGCCTCTACAGTCGTGGTCAAAAGTTTTGAGAATGACACAAGTATTGGTCTTCACAAAGTTTGCTGCTTCAGTGTTTTTAGATATTTTTGTCAGATGTTACTATGAAGTATAATTACAAGCATTCCATAAGTGTCAAAGGCTTTTATTGACAATTACATTAAGTTTATGCAAAGAGTCAATATTTGCAGTGTTGACCCTTCTTTTTCATGACCTCTGCAATCCGCCCTGGCATGCTGTCAATTAACTTCTGGGCCACATCCTGACTGATGGCAGCCCATTCTTGCATAATCAATGCTTGGAGTTTGTCAGAATTTGTGGGTTTTTGTTTGTCCATCCGCCTCTTGAGGATCGACCACAAGTTCTCAATGGGATTAAGGTCTGGGGAGTTTCCTGGCCATGGACCAAAATGTCGATGTTTTGTTCCCCGAGCCACTTAGTTATCACTTTTGCCTTATGGCAAGGTGCTCCAACATGCTGGAAAAGGTATTGTTCGTCACCAAACTGTTCTTGGATGGTTGGGAGAAGTTGCTCTCGGAGGATGTGTTGGTACCATTCTTTATTCATGGCTGTGTTCTTAGGCAAAATTGTGAGTGAGCCCACTCCCTTGGCTGAGAAGCAACCCCACACATGAATGGTCTCAGGATGCTTTACTGTTGGCATGACACAGGACTGATGGTAGTGCTCACCTTGTCTTCTCCGGACAATCTTTTTTCCGGATGCCCCAAACAATCGGAAAGGGGATTCATCAGAGAAAATGACTTTACCCCAGTCCTCAGCAGTCCAATCCCTGTACCTTTTGCAGAATATCAGTCTGTCCCTGATGTTTTTCCTGGAGAGAAGTGGCTTCCTCGCTGCCCTTCTTGACACCAGGCCATCCTCCAAAAGTCTTTGCCTCACTGTGCGTGCAGATGCACTCACACCTGCCTGCTGCCATTCCTGAGCAAGCTCTGCACTGGTGGTGCCCCGATCCCGCAGCTGAATTAACTTTAGGAGACGGTACTGGCACTTGCTGGACTTTCTTGGGCACCCTGAAGCCTTCTTCACAACAATTGAACCTCTCTCCTTTAAGTTCTTGATGATCCGATAAATGGTTGATTTAGGTGCAATCTTACTAGCAGCAAAATCCTTGCCTGTGAAGCCCTTTTTGTACAAAGCAATGATGACGGCACGTGTTTCCTTGCAGGTAACCATGGTTAACGTGGTCCCCTGTAGCTCAGTTGGTAGAGCATGGCGCTTGTAACGCCAAGGTAGTGGGTTCGATCCCCGGGACCACCCATACACAAAAAATGTATGCACGCATGACTGTAAGTCGCTTTGGATAAAAGCGTCTGCTAAATGGCATTTTATATTATATTATAAGAACAATGATTTCAAGCACCACCCTCCTTTTAAAGCTTCCAGTCTGTTATTCTAACTCAATCAGCATGACAGAGTGATCTCCAGCATTTCCTCGTCAACACTCTCACCTGTGTTAACAAGAGAATCACTGACATGTCAGCTGGTCCTTTTGTGGCAGGGCTGAAATGCAGTGGAAATGTTTTTTGGGGATTAAGTTATTATTAAGTTATTTTTCATGGCAAAGAGGGACTTTGCAATTAATTACAATTCATCTGATCACTCTTCATAACATTCTGGAGTATATGCAAATTGCCATCATAAAAAATGAGGCAGCAGGCTTTGTGAAAATTAACATTTGTGTCATTCTCAAAAGTTTTGACCACGACTGTACGGCCAATTCAGAAAGCTGATTGAGGACCTTATTACTGATGAATGTGTTTGTTTTTTAGGACCGTGTTTTTCCTTTCTCCTTGCATTTTGTATTTATATTTGGATGTGTGCATTTTCTGTAATTTCTGTAATTCAGGGCTCATCTGTAAAAGAGACCTTGGTCTCAGTATGACTCCGTGATAAAATAAAGGTTAGATAAATAAAAAACATTTAGGCTATGGCAGTTAGGGAAAAGGCCATTTGGCATGTCGCCCTGCTGTGTGATCAGTGCCAGACTCCAGCGGTACAGTAAAGTTCAAATATGCTAAACAATCATTTCTGACATCACGGTGTTGTCACCATCGACGATGGCTGTCAAACATCGTCGATAGATGATGCAATCGTAAAATCGCCCAACCCTAGTTAGTGTTCCATTCCACACTGCAGTAGAGGCTACTCAGCTCACAGGGATCTCAATGCAGAGGGACTGAGACGCATCGCTCACGCTCAGGAGAGGGCTAAATACAGGCAATGAGACTGCAGAACAGAAACTCAGATTGTGTCTTTGAGAGCACTGCAGATTTGAACACACTTATAGTGTGCGTGCAATGCAGATTTGAACATGCACAGCTCAAAACAACACATCAGTGTGTGATGTGGATAATCTAGTAATAGGCTAACCACTAAAGGATCATCTTTATGTATAAAACACACAAAAGACACACTGCTCATAGCCAAATCAGAGCCACACCACTCAGTGCCAATAGCACTGCCTGTGAGACCCAGTAGACTTAGAGGTCTTCAATTCTCATCACACAATATGCTACCCAGAGCCCTGTCCCACGCAAAGCTGTTAGGACCGCTGCCAAAGAGCTCAGTCAGTGGAATGCCTTTTTACACACACACACACACACACACACACACACACACACACACACACACACACACACACACACACAGCGATAGCCACACACAAACACAGCGATAGCCACACACGCACACACACACAAATGTACCAGTCAGCTAGAGTTTACAAGTCCAACGGCTGTCTGTAACATGATCCGGCTGAGGCCCATTCATTAGCTCTGAATAACTCACATCAATCACTGCCATATTAGGCCTACTGTTAATACACTACATGAATACAATTCTTATACTCTGATGAATGCAGCTACTCTTTCAGCAAATTAAACAGCAGAAGTAGGCTACACACATCTCATGGTTCCACTTCTAAACCGAATGACGAGGTTCCTCTAGCCGAGTACCCCAAAACCTAGGAGTACCCCCATCTGCCTGAAGAGTATTACCAAAACACACACAATCACAACTCCCTCCAGCTCCACCACAGAAAATAACTGAGCTAAATCTCTGCTTCTGAACCAGCTCTGTGTTGGAGGAACACCCTGTGGTAATACTGAGAGCCATTGTACAGGCTGTCCTTTGGGAAGTCTGCCAGGCCCAGGCCCAGGCGTACAGGGCAACTTTCTCTCCCTTCGGCTTTACTTGGATTCCCTTTGATGGAGCGAAGATTGTGTCCCATTGAAGATAGCATTGGGACATATTTAAGTGTTACGTCATAACAGAGTGATCTATGCTTCCGTGGTATTATTGTAGAATACATTTAAAAAAGTAAATTATCAATGGCATGCAGCTTGCGTAGCTCTGAATGAGCTATTGACACACACACACGCACGCATGCACGCACGCACGCACGCTCGCTCCTGTTCAAAGAGATGGTAAAAGGAAGTGGAGAGACTAATCTGTCATCGAGCCAAGATAAGGTCATTCTGAAGTACAAAAGGTCGTGTGCTGTCTGTGTCCAATCAACACTACACACAAGTGAGTAAGAAAATGACAGCGTATGTCTAGGCTTTACTGTATATGAATGCATGTAGGTGTGTGTCTGTCTGTGTGTGTCGGTGTCTGGATCTGTATGTGTATGTGTGTGGGTGTGTGTGTGTGTCCTTCAGAACACAGTGATTAAGGCTGGAAATTGCCAGGGACGATAGAATATATTGGATTCTCACGATTCTATATGTATTGCGAGTCGATACTGCGTATTTATTGCAATTTGATACTGCGTATTTATTGCAATTTGGTGTTCCAAATATATTGCTCACTATATGTCTGCTGCAGAGAGACAAAAGAACATGCTGAAAACATGTTGACTATTTAAAACAAGAAGATGGAGAACAAGCTATATGATGAAAAATACTGGAGTTTTGGCGCAGGTACAGCAGACTAGTCCTAGCTAACGCCATATTATATTTTTTACAAATCGATCGTGTGAGTCAAAGCATCGCTATAATATCATCCAAAATAATATAACGATATTTAACTGCGTCAATTCCCCCCCCCCCCATCACTAGTGTATATGAACAACTGTGTGTGCGCGCGTGTGTAGCACCCTCAAATCAGCTCATTTGTGAGGCGCGAGTGCTTTATATTTACTGCTGCTGGCAAGCCGCCAGGGGCCACCGCAAAGCATCCAGGGACAGCCAGGCTATTTTGGGGGCTGTTGCAAGGGAGTGCTTATCCACGATGCAACTCTGCATGAGCAGCACGCAGCGCCAGGCTTGCTGCAAAGTATGACACCCCAATCAAATGTTATTTAAAATACCCTAGCCTCCATGCAAACTCACTCCATTCAATCCTTTGTAATTTGATCATCAAATCTACTTAGTGTATTTTTTCTAACCCCCTCCATACCCTTTACCTGACTTGACTATCTATGAGCACAGCATAGCCACACACACACACACACACACACACACACACACACACACACACACACACACACACACACACACACACTGCAGAGAGAGGGCTAAAAATCAGGACACACCCATAACTCCAGGCATGTCAGAGAGGAGAGAGAGCTGTGAGAGGGGACTGGGTGACCAACAGCAGATGGAGTAAGAACTGAGGGGTATACTATGATTGAAGCGAGACCTGAACAAAAATAAAATGCAACATCTATCTATGGATTTCACATGACTGGGCAGGGGCGCAGCCATAGGTGGCCTGGGAGGGCATAGGCCCACTCACCTGGGAGCCAGACCCAGCCAATCAGTTTTTTCCCAAAAAAAAGGGCTTTATTACAGACAGAAATACTTCTCAGTTTCATCAGCTGTCCGGGTGGCTGGTCTCCGACGATCCCGCAGGTGAAGGTCCTGGGCTGGCATGGTTACACGTGGTCTGCGGTTGTGAGGCCGGTTGTACGTACTGCCAAATTCTCTAAAATGACATTGGAGGGGGCTTATGGTAGAGAAATTCAATTCAATTCTCTAGCTACAGCTTTCGTGAACGTTCCTGCAGTCAGTATGCCAATTGCACGCTCTCTCAAAACTTGAGACATCTGTGACATTGTGTTGTGTGACAAAACTGCACATTTTAGAGTGGCCTTTAATTGTCCCCAGCACAAGGGGCATCTGTGTAATAATCATGCTGTTTAATCAGCTTCTTAATATGCCACACCTGTCAGGTGGATGGATTATCTTGGCAAAGGAGAAATGCTGACTAACAGGGATGTAAACAAATTTGTGCACAAAATTGGAGATTAATAAGCTTTTTGTGCGTATGGAAAATTCCAGGGATTTTTTATTTCAGCTCATGAAACATGGGACCAACAATGTTGCATTGATATTTTTGTTCAGTATACTTATGTCTTTATCAAATCATTCCCTCCAGGGCTCAAAATTAAGGGTGTCCCGTCATCCCTGGGACTAAAAAATATATTTATACTGTTCAAAATAGACTAAAAAAAGAAATGAGGTTGATGCAACAGATCAGACCGTTTACCTTAAAATGCTGATCGTTTTATTTCTTCATTTTATACGCTCAACGAACCATGCCTCAAGTATGTCAACAGAATCAAGCCTTTAGACGTCAATTATCATTCATTATATTTGTATCAGCTTGGACAAGAGGCTGTAGCCAATATGCATATCACCTACACTTTGACATGTAGGCTTTTTTTATTTATGTACAGTGCATTCGGAAAGTATTCAGACCCCTAGACTTTTTCCACTTTGTTACGTTACAGCATTATTCTAAAATTTATGAAATATATTTTGTTCCTCATCAATCTACACACAATACCCCATAATGACAAAGTGAAAACAGGTTTTTAGAAATGTTAGCAAATGTATTAAAAACAAAAAACAGAAATACCTTATTTACATAAGTATTCAGACCCTTTGCTATGAGACTCGAAATTGAGCTCAGGTGCATCCTGTTTCCATTGCTCATCCTTGAGATGTTTACACAACTTGATTGGAGTCCACCTGTGGTAAATTAAATTGATTGGACATGATTTGGAAAGGCACACACCTGACTATACAAGGTCCCACAGTTGACAGTGCATGTCAGAGCAAAAACCAAGCCATGAGGTCGGAGGAATTGTACGTAGAGCTCCGAGACAGGATTGTGTCGAGGCACAGATCTGGGGAAGCGTACCAAAACATTTCTGCAGCTTTGAAGGTCCCCAAGAACACAGTGGCCTCCATCATTTGTTTGGAAGTTTGGAACCACCAAGACGCTTCCTAGAGCTGGCCGCCCGGCCAAACTGAGCAATCGGGGGAGAAGGGCCTTGGTCAGGGAGGTGACCAAGAACCCAATGGTCACTCTGACAGAGCGCCAGAGTTCCCCTGTGGAGATGGGAGAACCTTCCAGAAGGACAACCATCTCTGCAGCACTCCACCAATCAGGCCTTTTGGTAGAGTGGCCAGACGGACGCCACTCCTCAGTAAAAAGACACTGACAGCCCGCTTGGAGTTTGCCAAAAAGCACCTAAAGGACTCAGACCATGAGAAACAAGATTCTCTGGTCTGATGAAACCAAGATTGAACTCTTTGGTCTGAATGCCAAGTGTCACGTCTGGAGGAAATCTGACACCATCCCTACCGTGAAGCACGGTGGTGGCGGCATCATGCTGTGGAGATGTTTTTCAGCAGCAGCGACTGGGAGACTAGTCTGGATCGAGGGAAAGATTAACAAAATAAAGGTAGAGCGAGATCGTTGATGAAAACCTGCTCCAGAGTGCTCAGGACCTCAGACTGGAGCGAAGGTTCACCTTCCAACAGGACAACAACCCTTAGCACACAGCCAAGACAATGCAGGAGTGGCTTCGGGACAATGTCCTTGAGTAGCCCAGCCAGAGCCAGGACTTGAACCCGATCGAACATCTCTTGGATGTAACATAACAAAATGTGAAAAAAGTAAAGGGGTCTGAATACTTTCCGAATGCACTGTATATGAAAATTCGATTAGAATATTATTCAAATGTTGGCCTCACTGATCCAATTTGGATCGGAGTAATTGCGATTTGTGTGTGATTGTTTTTTTACTTATCCATTAGGACAACTCAAATCTATATACTTCTTGACCTACTTTTTTTTCTTACTTGTCCCAGACAAGAGAGTACAGGTGTTAATATCGAGTTAGCCCTGAGTTAGCCTGCCCGGGAACAGGTTAGTTCTGAAGGATTCGTTGCCATATTCATTTACCTGTCTAAAAGGTGAGCCACTTTCATGGTATCGGTTATCCAGAGTTGAACTCAGAGTTCACCAAAGTTACCTCGCTACCTTCTCAAATCACATTGGTCTTAAATGTCCCAAACATGGCATGATGACACATCAACTGAATTAATTAAGATCACACATCTGACTGATCGATTGATTAACCACAGATCTGCTGTGTCAACTAGGAGAGGGCATCAAGGGATACTGTGAGATTCCCTTGAGATTCTGACATAAAAATGGATAGCGTTTTTATGTCTCTGCATGCAGTATGAAGGAAGTTAGTGTTAGTTTTGAGAGCCAATGCTAACTAGCGTTAGCACAATGACTGGAAGTGTAAAAGTACAGTAGCATTGTATCCCTCCCTTTAACCTTACTAACTCTTCTTGCAATAATCAGTAATTCTAATAGTTAGTAACACTAATAGTAGGGCAACCACCCAACATTGACACAGAGTATGATTAAGTGCTAAGAATATCCCCCCCCCAAAAAAAGCTTAAGAACAACACCACTTTGATGTTGTTGGCTTGCTCGTAACGGAAGACTGTATTCTTGGCAATGGCGAGAGCCAGTCAGGAAATGAGGTCAGATTATATTCACTGGTATAAAAGGGAGGCAGAGAGAGCGAAAGAGGGAGAGGGATAATATAAGTGATTTCATGTTGAATAAGCTGCAGTTTTGGGTTAGTTCCTATCCAGCTGTGAGTTTTTGCCTTCAGCTGAGCCGGTCAGCAGGACTCCATCCAGATGCTGCTTTATCTGACCCCCCCCTCCCTAGAGACGTGCACACAGACACACACACACACACAAAGTCACCTACATATGTATTGCTTGTGTCTGGTATTGAATGTGAAAAAGGACAAGACAACCAGACTCAAATGGTCAAGGTCACTCATTCAAACACCGATCATCTTTGATTAATCCACAGATTACAGCGACGAGACAACGACTCTCCAGCCAACCTCGATCCTAAACCAACCTCACTAGCAGTCATGAGACAGTATTAGTAGTACAATTGTAAA